AAGCACAATAAACCAGTCAGCTGACAGCTACCCAGAAATGTTTGCAAGATTTAACATAAAGTAAACATTTTTAGCACTAGAAATCTCTGAGTAACCAAATGCTTGTACTTTACCTTTAAATAAGGCGTAAATACATTCAGATAAAGGCAGTCTTCACTGAAGGAGATGGGGTAAGGGTTTTTCCGCCAAGGTTGAAGACAGGCAGGAGGTTCCTTAGAAGCCTTCAACACCCCCGACCATGGTATGGTTGGCTGAGGAGCCTGAAAATGCACAAATTAAACATAAATGCTAAACATATTCATTCTTGATTTAGTTTAATTTATTATGAATATGATTATTTAAGTTTACCTATATGTTTGAAGCTAATTTCGGGGAATGGTGAGTTTCTGTTTACTTAAAACACATTATTGCATACATTTTCTATCTCCAATAAGTAAATAACAATGTTTTCACAATGTTTTGGAATCTAGAATCTGATCCTGTCCTTCGTTGCCTCGGTGGTAAAGTATATTTAAAACATTACAAGAATATTACCGCACACAAATCCAGCCCAAGCCATAAAAGCACAATAAAAACCACCAACAGAAAAGTAGTACTTCATTGATTGATTATACTAATATTCTGTGGTAAGTTATATTAAATTACTACAATAGCCTACTACAGTACTAAAGTGCACAGTACCTATACTTACAGTTACACGATAAAATATACTTATAGTTATATGCTCAGTGGGTGGTTTTCATCGTGTGTTTTTATTGGGCTTGGTTTGTGTGATGTAAAAAAATTACAAGATCAGATTTTAGATCCTAAAATAGAAATTCAGATACTAATCTTGATGATAATGTCCGCAATAATGACTTAGGTAACATAATTATAGTATTTGTGTTTGTTTATAAACAAACACAACTACTATAATTATGTATTATAACATAGTTAGTGTTGAAAATGTTCCTTATAACATAAATATTTTATAAAACGTTCCTACATTAGCTGGTGTTTATAATAGAGCAATTCTTTAGCTCATCACCAGGACAAGCTAAAAGTGACTCTATTTAACACAAAAGGCAAACATTAACAAATACCCCCACTTCTTCACTTGACTTACACTAAACCATTCCATGATGAATATTTTTATTATTATTTTATTACTCTTCCATGTATTAATAAAATGACTACTAGCATCATCACAGAATACAGAATAAATTGTCATGATTAATTCACTCTCACCTTAAACCTGAGTTCTCCAGTTGGAGGGGCCGCGTAGGGGATTCCCTGGAAGCTGTAGTATTTGCGACCCAATACTGTTGTTTTGACAATTCCTTCCACACATCCTGTAGTGAGAGGGACTCTAGGAACATCTTGGGAAGTGCAGTCTGTTGCCCTTGCCAGTCTACTGGAAACATTTAAGATTAGATTGGATTGATAGCTGAAACACCAGGCTACTTATTTTAAACTGAAGATGAGTGAATGATGAGTGATGAATGAGAATGAATTAAATGACAGATTTGCTAAATGAGATCAGCTGGTTGTTGGGTCGACCATCTTTTTAAAGCCCAATTGACAAGGAGGGGATGAATTATCATACAATGACGAGATATAAAACACCCTCTTCAGAGACATCAGCTGATAGTTAGGTCTGTAAAGTTTTGAATGAAGAGTATGATAGACATTCATTCAGTCATAAATGACTTTAGGTGTATCACTTTTATTTGATGGAACACAACTAAGGCATATTCCAATCCAAATATGAATGAAAGATGAGTGTGGGGTGATAGAGATGTTTTTTTTTAGCTTTTTTAGTCAAGACCATTTTCTAAAAGTCCTAGTGATCATGTACAGGTGGTTTCAGTTCCAAATATTTATAAGCTTATGTTTTTTTATCTTATCACAATTGAACAATCAACATTTATTTGGATTGGAGAGGCACCTTCGTATGTGTTGCTGTTACTATATGTACAGGGGTTGCCCCTAGCCACTATCCTGATAGTGACCCTTTTTACCTACTAGCCTTGTGATGTTTAAAGGGGAAGAGTAGAGAAAAGGCCTGTATATGTAAGTCACGTATGTCCAGGCCATCAATGAACATGATTTCCACCACACTACGATATTTTTAGCCGTTTTACAAACGTTTATTGGAGGCCGAAAGCTACGAATTAATTGCTGTCCATTCCAGCTGTCATCGTCATTTGGGGACCGAGCAACGAGCAGGTTTTTACATCCTTAGGGCCGAAAATCAGCTGCCCGCTTGATTTCTTAAAACAATAATGCATATAAATACACAATCAGTATCCATAGCATTGCAATAGACTTGTGTTTTATTATCACCGCTGCCTAGCAACTATTTATTATTATTTTTGACTGATTCCTCAAATTATTTCTTTACATAACCTTAAAGTTGTACTTGTGTTGACTATTAGTGTGATTGTGGTGGATAGTGTTGAGTGTTAATAGGGTATAGTGGTGTGAAAAATAGCGTTCGTACCGCAGACCGAAATGGTTTTACAGCTCTCGATCCGAAAAACTATCTCGAGCCGGCAAAACCTTATTTTCGGCCCTAGGTACGAAATATACCATTCATGCTTGCTTGTGATTTGTTTTAATCAAAGTGAAGTCAAATCAAAATCTTCTAACTGCTTAATACAATATAAGGATATTCTTTGTACTTGCCTTTTCCGGCCATCCTACTAAACCGATTTTTACAATTAATTGAGAGATGTTTAACCACAGAGACAAGTGTAAACATTGAGACAAAACAGTTTAATGAAAATAGATTTTAAATAGCCTAAAAGCAGTTAAAAAGCCTAGGTTACTTTTAGTGACAATTGTAACCTGAATGAGGTAAATCATACCGTTTTTTTTTTTTTTTTTAATATGTCAGATAAAAGACAATTTAGCTCAAGTATTTTTATGATAGTACGGAAATCAATATGTTAATATCACTTCTCCAATAATTGAAAAACTTTTTCTACAATGCCTCTCCTAATGTAGTGATTACCATCAATTTATCATTTTATCTACAAACTAGGTTATATTTCAAACAACTGAACAAAATTAAACAACAGAGTTCAAACAATATTCAAGGAAAACAGTATACAGAATAAAAACAGTGATAGAATGGATAATACTGAATTGATTTAATTACAAAAATGAGACTATAATATACAAATGTAGTACAAACCTTAAAGAGAAAATAAACCAACAAAGGGTTAAAATTAATCCTCTAAGTTGGTTCATTTCTTGAGAACTGAGTGTTTTAGGAAATGCCATTGACCTTAGATAGAGATTAGAAAGGGGGTTATAAGGTTAAGATAATTATTATATCCATCAGAATTTGGGATGTCGGTATCGATATTCAATATCCAAAAATGATTATGGAATTTGATTTTTAAATAAAAACCTAAAATTGGTAGGGCAACATAATTTTTGTTAAAAGATCTATATAGGCTACTTTGTATTTGAACCTTTTTGTTATCTTTAACAGCTTCCTCTTATGCATTTATAATTGTAAAATTAAAAGTGGCCTAGCTGAACCTACCGCAGCTGTTAATTAGTAGCCCATACAGCTAATGGCAACTAAGGGACCTACAGTTTATAGTGGAATCCGAACCACATTTTACCTTGAAAAATCACTCATTCACCATCAATCTTGCAACTCCAAATTATCTAGCCAACAAATTCAAATCATTATGTGAAAGAGGCGCAATGAATACTTGCTCTGGTTCATCCCATGTTGCGGCGCGCATTCCACATCACAGTACGACTGTTTAAATCTTTTTTAGTAAACACATGCCGCCTATGGAACTCTGTACGTTATCCCATTAAACCCTTAGAAAACCGATCCTGACTGACGGTGGCACTGAAAGAATATTACCTTAACCGGGTGGCCATGGTGTGGCGGGATGGGGTGTAGGCCTGGGTGCAGCAGAGGGTGTATGTGTATGCAGATGGTATGTTAGGGAAAATAAATTTGTGTTATATTATTAGATTTGCTTATTGTAGACTTTTTTGTTTTATTCTGTTTATGTTATGTTATTATATTGTTGACTTTTTAGAGGTTTAACTGTAAAAGGACCATGAGGTCATAAGGTGGGCTCAATAAAGGGTTTTTATTTCATTAAATTATTTTCATTGTAAACCAGCTTTCTCTCCTGATATATTCTGGGTGAAAAATTATCCAGCCTGAATATCTGTAAAATGATCTAATTAATTAGCCAAGTAAAGTGTTAACTTTTTTGTATTCTGAGAAGTTTTATTTTAGCTCTCAAGTCACCATTTTACACTGGGCCATCAATTAATTTTACTTCGTAACAGGTAAGAGGTCAGCTTTACATATGAAAAATACCAAGAAGTGATTTTGACCAAGCACAAATGAATGAATTACACAAATTAATGTAATCACAGTATACATTTGTAATTTAAATTTTGTGTGATGTAGCCAAATGCTAATCAATTACGCTCGTCTTATAATGAAGCATAAGCTACCCCTTAGTAGAAAATTACTGCACCATATCATAATAGTGATAATACTGTGTAATTATTTATCCCATCCCATTTGACTACAAAAGCTAATTATTTTAAAATAAGCCCTTCTCTCATATACTGCAATGTATTGTCAATCTAATAACCATTGTCAACCACCTAAAATACTGGTTCTTCATTCATCAAAGAATTTTGTTCTAAAGCCAAATTATTTTCCTGTCAATTAAGTAATCCCAATAATTATCCACTAACAAGCCACGATACAAAAAAACTTCTTTATTAAAAGACATTCCTAACACAATTACAAGTTAACTTATTCATGCTGCTCTAAATTACTTCTTTAGAACCTTCAGTCATAATTTGATCAAATTGAAATTCAATATCCCACACAGCATATTCCGATTCAAACTTAACCGTCGCATCGACCTTCATAAGCAAATAAGGCCTTATCATCTGAGTTATTATCTTTCTGTTCACGCATTGCTATATTTTGACCAGTGACCATTGTGTTGAATAATAGTGTTACATCATTGTGAACCTTCAGTCACTATACTTGAACTGAAGTGTTCTGATGATTGTTGTGGTTACCTAGTTATTGTGACAAAGTGTAACATGGCATTTGGACGGAGGATTACCTCTACGCTTTTCCTTATTTTATTTCTAGCTCAGTAAGAAAACAGTATTTTTTATCATTGTTGTTTTTAGGTTAAGTCAATTTTTTATGTAAAACTATTGTTTTGTGTACATGATTTGTTGGCTGTTAGGGCTCTTCTTAATTTTATTTTCAGCTTAGTAGAGCACAAAAATATTTGCAATTTACACTTTTTAGGCTAAATATATATTTTTAGTAAAATATATTTTCATGTTTTAACACATTGCTTGTTTAATTAGACTATTTATAATTTTATTTCTAACATATGGTAAGGCTCCTTTTATACTATGTGGCGAGCCGCATGCCACTATGTTCAACGGCAAGCGCCGCATGTTTGTGCGGCAGCCATGGCATCGGTGGAGGTATCAGGGCTACCAACTTAGGGATTTTATATTTACTTCAATTTTACCGTAATTTTACATACACAAAACTTGCAAACTGATGCTAAGAGAAGAAAAAGAAAAGCACCTACCATAGTGGCAACAGAAAGTGAAATGTGGGGAGGCAAGGTAGTACCGTGGTGTGCTGAGTTTGTTTTGATCAGTTGGTAGCACTTGACAGCGCCGCTGAGTATAAAAGCTCCCATATAACGCAATGCACCTAGAGGCTGCACGTTTCTGCGGCTCCTAGGTGCGCCGTCGTGCATCTAGCCAGTCGTGGGGGCGTGCACTGGCCGCAGCAGAGTATAAAAGCACCCATTTAACTCAATGCACTTACAGGGCCGTCGAACGCAGCGGCGTGCGGCGTGCCGCAGAGTGAGCCTAAGAAAAACAGTTTTTATCTGAATTTTTAGGTTTAAAATATTTTTAGTAGGTAGTTGAACATGCATTCATGAGGTACAGTTGAGTGCACTGAAAGGTGCACACTTATCTGACTTAAAATCATGTTCACATAGTATCAAAAAACTCTTAAGATAATATATTATTTAGAACTTGTAGATTGTTGTCCACAATAAAAAAACCCTAAGAACTAACAAATTATAAGTGACTATTAAATTAAATTAATTCTCAATAAAACAGGAGAAAGGTGAGGGAGATTTCTCCTGAAGAAGGATTGTTTCTCAAGAGATGACCTTCTAGTATTATTTATGAACTACTTCACACAGCAGAAAGTAAAGCAATTCCTTAAAAGTTATTCATACAAGACTATTCAATCCCGTTTATTGTGTTTTTAACTGATACTTATGTTTTTGTAAATTTTTAAGGGGGAGTTTTTTACTCTAAAAGTTTTAGTGAGAATTAACACACAGAGTTGACCAGTAAGTAGGACAGATTAAATCCTTATCATTCTGTCCAAACATACTTATTGTTTAACCTTAGTTTAGCCATGTGTTCTTATGATATTATATCTAAACAAAAGGAAAAAGTTTTTTAATGGCTTTTGGAATGCATATTCACTACATTGAGAACAAAAATATAATAAGTAAATACTAAGCCTAAAGAGCTATACATCTCTAAAATATTAAATTTTTCCAATTTTCTATTGTTTTTGTAAGTATAAAATTGGTATACTAAATTCACAATTCTAAATACCATACAGCTGCTTGTCTATTTATGGTATATCTGTTGACATTGTAGTGAGGTTGGTAAAATATTGTGATTTAGTTCTTAGATGACAACAAACGTTGACAATTTGGATACCTTAATTACTACAATTAACTTGTCACATTCATTACTTTGTTCAAGTTCCCTTAAAGGAGTAACACTATGTGCAAGATCGTTTTTAACCAGCATTACCATTTTAGGGTTATTCAATCAGATTTTCATTCACAATTTGCAATAAAAATGTATACAAAAATTTAAATGTCTTTATTAAGTGTTCCTCTGGTACACAAGCTTTTCAGAACAACTTTTGCCACTGTACTAGATATCTTATTGTAATATTTGGCCGTTACACACTTAGACAATAATTAACAACTTTTTAAAAACATATCTAAAGTTTTTCTTAAAATGTTTTGCTAGATGCAACAACCTTCAGACCGTCGGGTAGGTCAATGTACAATGGAGGTCCAAAGTACGAGAAGCACTTCTTCCCAAGCTCTAGAGAAACTCTTCGGAGGTGAAGCATCCCACCATGACGTGTCCTGCGCTGGGAAACCTCATCGCGAAGAGAAAGCCTCTCGCGTAAATAGTCGGGCTTACAAAGAGACAACACTCTGTGGGTCATGCAGCATATTGTGCACCAAAAAAATTGCTTCTGTTAGTAAGATATATGACTTTACAATAAATATCATGATGAACAATGTTCCCGGTACTCTGGATTACTGTATGGATCTCTAGCAAGGATCTGCTAGTGTAACATATTTTAATCATACTAATGTGTGCCATGTTTCAGTGGAATCCAAGCAGATAATGAAACTGATGAAAACTCCCCTATCGTAGAAACTTCACTTGGTCCCGTACAAGGATTTAAATATACATCCTCTTGGACTAAGAAACCGATATATGCCTTCAGAGGTATTCCTTATGCAGCACCTCCAGTGGGAAACCTACGTTTTAATGTAAGGATAGTTTTATTTTAATGTTAATTTTATTAACAGTAACTTTTACAAGACACATGCTTTATAAAATACCTTTTTGGAAGAAAGGGGATAGTTGCTATATAGCTGATTAGTTGATAGTGCTTGTTTCGTATTCATAAAATTACTAGTTCAATCCTTATAAAAGTCAAGAGCGTTTTCATAGTTCAAAACTGGCCCCAGCTGTCCTTGATCCTTGGGCTTTTAAATGGTTCTGACTAAAGAAACAGGTGATCTTGGTCAGTAATGCACAGGTTATCCTACTCCAATTCATGGTTAAAATATGCAGCGATGTCTTACGTAACCAAATGAATGCCATATTTCTGGGTGAGCGTCAATAGGTCAATAGGTGCTGATGAAATTACAGCATACATTTGAATAGCCTCATAGTTTGCTTACGATTAACCTCTTGAATGTTTACAGTACCCTGTTCCTCCAGAGAGTTGGACATCAGTAAGGAATTGTTCGGAAGACCAACCATCCTGCATGCAGAACTCCAACTTCATCATTGGCCACAAGAACATAACATTTGAAATGAGCGAGGACTGTTTATACTTGAACGTCCATTCACCAGTGGTAATGGTTTTTGTTTTATTAAACCCTTAGGAAAAAAAACAAAAATACAACAAATATTATATTCAATTTGATAAATAAGGCCCCTTTGAGCTTCAAGGCCTAATATATCGGACACAAGAATAAAATATCGAGAGTAAATAATCCACTTACCACTATCCATGATAGGAACATTCAATAAAATGGTTGAAAGCAATAACTGATATAGGAAACGTATATGGAGTTCGCTATCTCTTCTCTATCCAAAATGGTAGCCAATATTACCATTACGAACCAATTTTACCTTTGATTTTCCACAACATTTGACGGGCTACCATTTTGGATAGAGAAGAGATAGCGACCTCTAGTTTTCACCATTCTTTAAGTTTTTGTAAACACTTCAAAATGAGGTGTTTTGAAGGGGGTTTACTTTTAAAATATTTGAGTTACCCCCCAAGTCCCCCCTTTTGGGGGGGGGCACTCAAAAATAAAAAGGTAAAGCATAATAAAAAAGGTATAATTGAATCACTAAATAATCCGTGGAGCTCAAAGTGTTAACTGTCTGGCCACAGGCACTTTTAAATTAGATTTTTAGACTCTACCTAAAGATTCAAAAGTGTTAGCAACATTTATATTGCCATTGATTGGTCAACTTTTGTGTACTATTTCAGCCCAGTTGATTCTTTACCTTTGTCCAAAACCAAAACAAACATACACATACCAAGTACATACATCTCTTTTTAAAGTATAAAAATGATTAATTAACCAATTACTCAATATTCCCAGTACCCCAAAAAAGAAGAGCTGTTACCAGTGATGGTATGGGTGCACGGTGGTGCGTTCATCGAGGGATCTGGAAGCTACTTCCGCTATGGTCCTGACATTTTGGTGGGAGAAGGTGTAATTGTGGTTACACTCAATTATCGACTTGGAGCACTAGGTAAAACTTAAAAAAAAGTTATATTGTTGTTATTAAAATATTTTACCATAAAGTTGTGTGGTTAACATTAGCCTCTAAAAGTTTTTTTTAAACAGTGCTTTTTGACTTTAGACCCTGTATAAAGTGACTTTTTCCCACATGTACTTAACAAATGGTGCAAGCCGAGGCTTTAAACTCGAGGGTCAGAAATAAACCTTATGAACTTTACACGTTTTTAAAATGGCTTCCAACTGAACATAAAATAACAACTATCACTGAGACTGTATTATTTGCAATTGAAGTAAACTAAGAAATTTACTGTTGTTGTCCTTGACATCAGCAGATTATTTTTACCCTAGGGATAAAACTATCTGCTTAAAGGGTCCATTACACAGAGAAATATTATAAGCTACTAGACAGGAAGTAAAAAATAAGACTGTTTGGGAAGCACTTAAACAACTCCAATTCCTCAGAAATCATCATGACTATAATCCTACTTTTTTTTCTTGTGCAAAAGCAACTGGGATTGCACAATCTAATTTGCTCAACACCTTGTAAGTTGTGTGTAAAGTCACCTTTTTAATCAGAGTAAACTTTTTCCAGAGTTTTTTTTTAATGGCCAGCTCAGCTACAAAGCGAGTGTGTTGAGTATAATACCGCTAAATCGCGATCCTTGTTGCATGAAAGCTGGCCAGTAGACTGTAAACTCACTCTGCGTATTACAGCCTTTAGCATTAAAGTATTGAAAACAATTAATATGTACCACGATTGTTACGAAGGTTTCCTGACTCTGGACACACCGGATATTCCCGGCAATGCTGGGTTGAAGGATCAGATGTGTGCACTCCGGTGGGTTCAGAGAGAGATCCGGAAGTTTGGAGGAAACCCTAACAATGTAACATTGTTTGGAGAAAGTGCAGGATCTGCGTCTGTCCATCTACATTACCTCTCCCCTCTCGCTAAGGGTAACTTCTCTTTTCTTGTTTTAAGAAATGGTCAAATTGCTAATTATATACCGATCTATTTGAATAGAAGGTTGAAATCCCTATGCCAAGTGAGAATGATTTATTTAAGAGTGAATGATAATAGTTTTATAGCTATACAACCATAGTTTCAAACTTTAATGTTCATTTCAAAATAGTTACTTTATATGTACTTAAACTTCTACATGTTTTTTTTTAAATTTTTATTTATATTTGAAGCTACTGTTTTAGTACTGGTACAATTAAAAAGTCCCTCTATTAGGTTAAGAAGAAATATTTACTAGCTAAACCAGGGACATATTTCCGAATAGGCGGACTACGCGCCTGCCTAGGGCTGAAAATTTTAGGGGCGGCAAAATTTTGGGGGTTAAAAATCGGGGGTTAATCTAAAAAAATAAACGTTTAGCATATAATTCTAGGAACGGCAAAACGGCCATTAAAAATATTTTGATCAAGTATAAAATGATTCCAGAACTCAGTAGACAAAACCAATCTTTGAACCGTTTTATTTTCGGATATTTTTGGGACCAGGTGTAATGCTATTACAATAAATAAAGTCATAATGTCTCAAAAATGTACTGTATCCCCTTAAATGACAGTTATATGATCCCTTGTATAAAGACGATTTTGTGTGCCGTTTCACGCCTCAAAGCGCGATTATAATTACTGATTGGTTTGCATACCGTGTATTCAAGTCAAAATCACGTTCTGCATAAAAACAACGCAAAAAACCGTCCCTTATAAGGGCTCAAAAGTTATTAAATTTGTTGATGCAGCATGCAATATTGCAGATTATTTTTCTACAAAATCAGCTGACAGGGCATGTATTGTCCATTGGTGTGATATTAGTGAGGTCGGGGAGTGTGCTGATAAGTTGTGGGGGGGGGGGGGCAGCGGCAAACTTCGTTGCCTGGAGGCGGCAACGAATACGTCCCTTACTTTCTACGTCCTTTATTTAAGGATACTTAAATACGTCCCTGAACTAAACGATATTTACACTAGCGAATTTAGGTCCTCCTTATCTGTTTTGAAGGAATTTAAATGCCCTGAAAGCCTCTTGGAATCTGACCTTTAAGTTAGACACGTTTAAAATTGCTATATCTATAAAATGGGATGAAAACATGGCTAAGATATGTATTTCAACCCAAATATGAGTGAAAAGTGAGTTTGCGACAAGTAAGATGACTCGTGTAGATTTTATTACAGACTATTAGAGCCTTGTGTAGCTTTTGTTACAGACTATTAGATCAGCTGTTTCTTTAGCCATGACAATGTATTTAGCCCAATAATCAAATCTTTCAGCATGGTGTGTGATGACTCATATTGTGTTTATTCTCCAGGTCTGTTCCAACGAGTGATCGGAGAGAGTGGGACTGCTCTAGGAGACTGGGCGGTAACGGAGAATGGCCAGGCCTACGGGAAAGCATTAGCTAAGATGGTAAACTGCACTTATGAGGACTTAGATGATGTCTCTAGGTGTCTATTGCTAGTGAATGCTGAAGACATTGTGTCGGCTCAACAGAAGGTGCCATCTTTGCTAGTGGTGTGTGGTTTGCTATGTGCCTTCCTCCTTATACATCTTTTTACACCCATTTGCTAGATAATAGAAATTTAGTAATGTTTCCCTCATTTCCCTGACATAGCCTTCATTTAGTTTGGATGGCCTTTGAATGGTTCAAAAGGACATTTTGTCGCCATAATATTTTTTTAGCAGTAACTACATCGTGGTGCATATTGGTAAAATGAATGTGAATACAAGATGAGTCTAGAGTTGAAGTAAGATGCTATGTGTGGCTTTGTGACTGACCAGCTGTTTTTCTTTGGACAGGGCCATTTATTAAAGCCCAAATTATCAAGGACAGCTGGATTCAGTTTCATCCTTTAAAAAGCTACTCACTTTTCTCGGGATCGAACCTTCAATAACCTACTCAATACTAGACTAGCATTGTAGCCACTCAGCTATCTAGCTCTACTTATGCACTCGTACCACTTTTGTTCATAAGCCAACAATCGTAAACAAACAACAAACATTGTGGTCGTCTAGCAAGTTAAATTTATGCTAAGGGATATATTTTATCTGTCCACAGAATGGAAGGAAACAAAGTCTGGTGTTTATTCCTAATGTGGACAAGAACAGTCCAAAACCTTTTTTGCCAGAGATTCCAACCAGACTCATAGAGCTCAAGCAAGGGTCGTTTGTTCCTTTCATTATGGGCATAAACAGCGACGAAGGAATGATGATGCTGCGTAAGTAATTGTTTTGATTTATACCTTTCTAGAAAGATGCACAATATTATGGGCATTAGATTGGTTAAGTTTATTAGTTACATTGAACGATAGAAAATCACTTGATGTAGGGGTGGTCTTGTGGTAGAGCGTAAAACTTTAGTCCCGAGGTACTGGTTTCAAATCCCGCCAATCACCAATGGATTTTATCTAAGAAATAATACCATAACCCTCTAGGCCGAGCCTGAATTAATGTTTGAAATAGTTCTGGGCTAGGGCCTATATAGCCTCATAGGGTTTGAAGATGTTGAGTCATAAACGATATCTATGCTAAAGACGTGTTTTATTCAGATAGGACACAGAAGCAGTTTTTTTTACCAGGGACATTTATTTCAACCCCAATGATCTAGAGGACAGCTTTTCAGTAATAATGACTATAGAAAGCTTATACCTATGCATGACTAAATAACAACTTCTCGTTTGTTTCCTGTTTTACATAAAGCTTTTGTTGTTAGTATAAATATATGTAAACTCTGTTAAATAATGAATATTGTCTGATGTATTTTGGTTACAGGTAGCAAAGAACAAATTAGAAACATAACAAATAATCTTGACCAAGTGATCCCATATAGTATAGTGAAGAAATGCAACAAAGAGAGGTTAAAACTTCTCACTGACAGACTGAACAATTTCTACTTTAAAGAGCCACCTTCAGAGAAGAATCTTAGAGGATATGTAGACGTGAGTTATTAATATTTAAACCTCTTGTTAGTAAATCCCCTGTGGGAAGGTGCTGATGGTAGCTATTTCTATATCTCATCTATAACACATTGGCTTTCAGTTTGTAATAGCATAGACAAAAAGAATTAAATATAGACCGTCAGCTATGCTGCGGTTACCATAGGTTCTGGCGCACACCGCTTGGAGCACCTCGGTAGTTACGGCGTAGGCGCTACGTAAACTACAGCGGTGTGCGCCGGAACCTATGGTAGCCATAGCAACCGCAGCACGGCTGACAGTCTATATTTCATTCTTTTTGTCTATGGTAATAGTAGACTTATTGCTGTTGTTAAATCTTTTTCAGATCTTTCATCCTTTAAATCAGTTCAATTCCTCTAGCTAAAGCAATACCACGTTTATTTCTAAGCCCTTAAGTTCCAACCTTCAAATAAGACTCAGAATATAGAGGGACCTCTCTGGTGACAGCCGCAGGGGGCCTCACAGATTCTTAATACGGCCCTGGGTTCGATCTGGAGAAGAACATTAGCTTTTAGGTGGCTAGACGCAGCTGTTCTTAATTGGACTTTTAATCAATTTTCCTGACTAATGAAACAGATGGTCTTAGTCAGTAACAAAGCTACACAAAGGTATCTCACTCCATATTTGCAGCGAAATACACACCTAGGAGGTGTCCCCTTCTCAATAAATTATTGTTAAAATAATGGAAAAAGGATAGCTGAGACCATAGACTAACCAACACAAGTAGACTTCTCATCCCATTGTAAATTTTGAAGCACGTTTTTCGTGTCTAGTTCATGTACGTGACACAAAGGCGCTAGTGTCGATGAAACTTTGTTTCCATTATTTTAGGGTGAATTTCTTGATTTGTGCTTTACTGTTTGGTTATATAACTAGGGGACAAGTTATTGTTTATGATTAGATCGTATTATTTGGTTAAACGAGGTTTTAAATGGCGGTAATAACGGGGAACAAATTGTAAACAAAACACGACCTCTACATAAACCGTACATGAACTAATAATAAAATTGTCTTCAGCTGTTCCATAAGGATGAGAAATCTACTAAGGGAGTATGTTTTATCTATGCTGAGACTTACCTAAATCTATGAAAGAGAATGATTAATCAATGGTATTAATAAATCACACACTTACAGATGTTTACAGATCAGATGTTTGGGTACTCCACGGCTGTCAGTGCAAGAGTTTACAGAGAACGAGCTCCTGTGTATTTGTATTACTTTGCTTTCAATGGAAAATTCAAGGAATTTTTTGTAAAATTTCTGGAAAATAAATTCACTTTTTCAGGTAAGAAAATTTAGTTAAAATTTGTAACAGATTATTTCAAACAAACAAATTTTTATAAATAAAAGAAAATTTTACAATTAACTATGTGGAAAATATTAAACAATAGAAAATTGTGAAATAAACGGTTGCTAATGAATTGTTTTTTTAGGTTTGAAATATATATTGATATTTTGAATACTAGAAGAATTTTATAGGGAATTTGAAATGCTAGATAAGTGTGTTCTTGAAATTTTGTTATAAAATCAGACCTTTTTTAGAAGTTTAAGTTTATAAAAAGGAAATTGCTATAAGGAAAGCCATAAAAAAATTTCAAATTGGACCAAGTTAGTTTTTTTTATAATATATTATAACCGTGTCCTCTCCTATAACTGCAATAATCATTTTATACTTATATGCCAACCCTGTACGAAAGGCTGGGTACTCTGCTGGTCCTCAATAAAATGAAGAATTTTACTCTCAGTGTTCTGCTTTTTCTTTATTTTGACGCATAGAACAATTTTCATAGTTTGGATGTTCACTAAGGACACCTTGTATAAGGCTGCTACTTTTATGTTGCCTTTTTTTAGGAGTTTCACATGCTGAAGAATTGAGTTATTTATTCGAAAGAGACAAAGTAAATCAAGAGGCAGAAGAAGATTCAGATGAAATGAAAACTTGGAGGAGAATGGCTAGAATGTGGACAAACTTTGCTAAGTTTGGGTAAGAAGCGAAACAAAGAAACAGTGTTCTTATAAATTTAAGAATATAGCTTACATTAAACCATAATCACACAAACTGAATTACGTTAGTTTATTGGTAAAATTTATTGGTTCTGTCACATCTTGCTTTGCTTGATATGTTCCATTCACAGGCCTGATGCCTATGTTGGCATGATTTTCTTTCACTTGTCTTCACCATAATCACCTTGGTGTGTCAGCTTTGTATATATCAAATCTAATCAAATGTGAGGTTCAAAGAGGTAGGGAAATTATACAAAAAAGAGTATGACTTTTTGACACCCAAATGTTACACTTAAGTGTATAATGTTTAGTTTAATTGTATTTGTCAATATTAATTACCTTTTGGTTGCAATTGATCTTGGTGCAAAGGTTTATATTCACTGTATCTTCTTACCTCCCCTGAAGATACCACAAAAGCAGGCAAAATGTACATGTGAATATAAACCTTAACCTAAAGAATGAAGGCTCCAAAATAAGGCGATTAGTATAATTCAAGTTCTTGAAACTGGAATAGCAACTGTTATACAAGAATAAAATAACGTTTCATACATACAGATTTTCAGCAAAACTTTTAATAAAATAATTTATAAATTTCAGAACGCCAACAGTTGAAAAGGACCCTGTCTTGGAGGATGTTGAATGGAAACCAGTTGGAAAAGTGATGACTAACTATCTTCTTATCAACAATACTCTGAAGATGGTGGAGCAAGATTTCCTGGCAGCAAGAGTTGCTCTTTGGGACACCATTACTCCTTCAAGCTCTTCACATTTGTACCCGACGTGTGCACTTGTGCTAGTTGGAGTTGCCATGTTTATTTGGCTAAGCGACAGATCGCAAAACTAACAGACAGTTAGCATTGACTTTTGTATTTTAGGGTAGACATCCCATCCGTATGGGTCAGCTGTAGCCAATTTTCCATGAGGATAGAACATAGCACGAATACTAGAAAAATACCGGTATGGATCATAAATATAAACAAATGACGTTTTTGGCCCGAATTCTATACTAGTAGCATTAACATATGGTTTAAACAGTTCCATGTAATTAATGTTAAATAATGTTTACTTTCGGGCCAAGAATGTCATTTGTTTATGTTTATGATCCATACCGGGTCTTTTCTAGTATTCGTGGAACATAGTTGAATGAGTTGCTTACAGAGTGTGAGCTACTCTGTGTCGAAATTATATTTTCTTTCTTAGCTTTTGAAGATTTTATAATTTATAATGGTGTGATTAAGGTCTTAATCAAACCAAACTTATGAACGATAGAATCTTTTACGTCACAACATTATAATTATAGAATCTTCAAAAGCTAAGAGGGATAATATTGGTAATTTAATATTCAACAGAAATCAGTAATTTGGCAGCAGCACTCTGTTGTTGCCTCAATTCAACTATGTTAATGTCAAATCAAAAACTTTCTGCAGCTAACATGTGGAAGAGATGTCTACATCTCTATATAGTCATAGTTTATAGTGTATAGCATTAAATCAAATTAGTTTGTAGGTTAATTTGTGAATCATTATAGTTGATAGTACAGTACTGTACAGTAGATCCTCTTATACATATCTTTTTGGTATAGGTTTCGTATGATATGGTTGCTGGGTAGTCAAGTGGATTTAGCACTCTTCGAGTAATCAGTAGGTTGCCAGTTCAAACCTTGAGAAATGTGAATAGCTTTTAGAAAGTTTGAAATCAAACCCAAGCGTTTGAATCCTGTACGTTCAATAAATGAATGGTCCTGGCTAAAAAGCAAGCTGAACTAAGTCAGTAACAAAGCTATCATCTTCTTAATTCAAAACTCACCCTTCACTCCTCATCTTTGTATTAAAACAAACTTTGTGTCAGTGTCATATAAATCTAATCTAATCTTAGTTGGGTAGCTGGTTCAGTCCTGAGAAACATCAGTAGCTTCTAGATGGTTTTAAATTAAACCCAGCTGTTGATTGTTCTTAACAAATTGAGTGCGGTAAATATATCAGTGGGTCCTTCACTAGGACCTGAAATTTTTTCACATAAAATCTTATTTTTTCAAATAGAAAATGTAAACTCTTACCTTAGCAATCCTTATTATGGTTGTCCGATATTAATTTCAAACCTGTAGGTTCATCTTCAGTCGGAATTTTAGGCAGACCAAATGCTTATTATAAAATCCACCCGATAGGCTTCGTAGAAATGTTGACATTTAACACGAACACGATTTATGTATATATTTATAAATATTTAAATCTATAATTTATATATTTATGTCAATTGTAATGTGTAACGTGTTCGTGTTAAATGTCAACATTTTTACGAAGCCCATCGGGTGGATTTTATAATAAGCATTTGGTCTACCTAAACTTCCGACTGAAGATGAACCTACAGGTTCAAAATTAATATCGGAGAACCATAATAAGGATTGCTAAGGTAAGAGTTTACATTTTCTATTTGATTATATAAGCAATCCAGAGGCTGAAATGATTGATCTTACTTTTTGTTGCCAGAAATGAGGATCCAGGTCGGAAATAGTGTTTTGAGCAGTTTTCCCAATAAAAATGGCGTCCAAAATTGCCGGCCACTCTGGTACAATTATATACAGCCTCTTCCTCCTTCCCAACCATTGTTTATTTCAATAACAGTGAATCATGGAACTGCTGATAAGAATTTGGTATTGGGGAGTACATCTTTATAAAAACCACAAACTAAAATAAAAAACTATAAAATATATTGTTACGTCTTATAAAAAGCAAAAATACAAAAGAAATACACCAATACGTCCAAAGTCAATAAATAAATTGTGCAAATGGAAATTTACCGGTCTCGGGAGACCGGTTTTGGTCCACAGGAACAGCAGGTGAAAAACACACAGGATAGGTTGTGTAGCTCTAGCAACGCACACACAATAACTCCTGTCTTTTCCACATCAGGTTGCGCCAACTGAGTGATTCATTTCAGCGGGACCTGGTCGGTCCTCTAAACAGCATTGTGCCCCTAACTCATATGATAGTGTAGTAGTATAGTGATAGTACAGACAGCATCATGTCACTTGCTAACCACGCCAGTTCATACATGGGATCTGGTGCCGAAGTGTTTGAACGAGATTAAATCTAATGTACTAGAGATAAGCTTAGGTATTTCATCTTTTTTTGGTGGTGCAGGATAATGATTAATGAACCTCCATTCATAAAACACAAATGAGGCGTGTTAAACTATCAGTGAAACTAATCATTTTCATGCAAAAGTTAGAAAATTTAGTTTCTTTAGCAATATAAACTTTAGGGTTATCTGACTACCCTATTGTTTCTTGAGATTAACTGTTTGAAACTTGGTAGTTAACAATTTACTGTTCAATTGTTTGGAATAGAATAGAATAGTTTAGTTTTGTAAGCAGGATTTCTGTATTTAACAAAATAGTCATTCACAACATATTTATTACATTTACCTATATTACATTTACCTTTATTGTTGTTTCTCGGATGTTTTGACCTTTGCTATCTTCATTATCTTTAATGAAGAACATAAATGTTATAGTCTGTAGGTTTAAATTTATGTACCGTATTTAATATTAGCTAAAAACTCGTCATGAATAAAAGAATACTGCACAACTTATTCTGCACTGTGATGTACATGTAAAATGTTAACTATGATAGTTTCTGTTTACTGTAATGATTTAAATAAAATGTTAAATAGTACATACAAAATATTTTAACACTGCCAAGAGATTTATTTACCATCATCATTAACGAATTTAATACCTAAAAATTGCTTTATCGACTGTTAAAAATGCAACAGCGTGATGTATACAACTTCGTTACTTCTCGAGTGATGTAAAGTTGAAAAAAACTCACTCGGTGATGTAATGAAACCCATTTAAATAACATTGAGTGCTTAACTTAAAAAAATATACCTCTATGGAGCCAACGAGGTTCAACGCTAGAAATCAGCTGTGCGCTTGAATTTTATTGTTATGTTTTGAAGAATTTTCCTAACCTAGCTTTTGTTTGTAAATGAACGTTACTGTTAGAAGATGAGTGAAATGGATAATGAAAAATATTGTTCGTAACCTCCTGTATATTGTCGGGTCAGGTAAAATCTTGTACGTTACACGTTACGCAAGAGCGTGTTTACATCACTTAGGTAAATTATGCAACTCGCTTCCGCTCGTTGCACAACATTCACCTGCGTGATGTAAAAACGCTCTTACTACACATGTAAGGTAAATAGCTATTAAATATTGAAAAACTACAAAATATACATAAATTTTAAATATTATGTACACAAAAACCATAAGTTTGTGAATAATCCTGAGAACAATTCATCAGCAGTTAGTTAGGGATTTTCAGAATATTCATCATTTTATACCATACATTGTTAACAATATAGTTATTTTACATTCTTATTTCTAGTTTAGATCAATATAAGACCACATTTTCCTTGTTTACTTTGACAGTTCAGTTATATCAATAAAGTGTTTATCTTATCAAATGTAAATGAAGTATTTGCCCCTGTGACATTAATTTTATCAAGTCTCTGATACAGTTATGTTTTAGTGTGTCTATGAAGATCAAATTAATTTTAGGTTTGATATCAAGCAATATCAAAGTTGGTATACAGTTAGTGAGCTAGTAATATGTTATTTTATGTTTTAGTTTAGAAAAAACACAATTTTGTTTAGAGTATTCAGATTTCAGAAACTAGCAAAACTGGTTTAAAATCTTCAAAAATTTTAGTTTTACTTAATTTCAAATTATTACTTAACACCTAATCTTATTTTGGTGACATAATACAGGGTGTTTATAAAATAATGTCAGGATTTAAACGGTCTTTGCTCAGGGACTATTCAAGATATGATTTGAGCATCAAATTGAAGGGAAAAGAACAAAGTTTTTTTTCTCATACTTTGATACAATTCGAAATAGTTTGATGATAAAATTAAGATTTTCATCAATCTTATGAGAGCGTAAAACTGGCTAAGTCTGTACACTTAGGGCTATCGGCGGGTTTATCTGATGTCTTAACAGAATCTTTTTTGACAAAAAGACTCTTATCTTTTACAGATAACATCATGAAGTGTCAATTTAGGTATATTCAACTGAAGACTTCGTCGGTCAATAGATTTTTCCATGCTTCTGATACAGAATTGTCGGATTTCTTCGACTGTTATCATTTGTTTTTAGCCGGTCAAGTGAAGGTCTTTTCAAAACACTATGGTACCACAAAACTCATTAAACCAGCGTCAAATTTCACTATCATCAATAACATTTAAATTTAGTATAATTTAGAAATCCTTATATAATACGTGAAGGCGATTTCTACAAAACACTACTCTGTTTTGCGCATGCCAAGGTCAAAGTTTCCTCCTTTGCTACAGGAGAAACAAAATTTAATTATTTTAGCCTCAATTTGACATATAAAATGTTTATTTTTTTCTATTTGTTTATTTATTTCCAAAAAATACAAATTTACAAAACATGCAATTTAACTACAAAAGCCATTCATGGCTTGTCTGCAGCATTATTAAAATTTTTGTTATTTCACAGTTCTTTTTTATTCAATCAGTCTTTTGTTGATAATCAGTCTTTTGTTTCCCTTGTTTTTATGTAAGTAAACTAAATCATGACACAGAATATACATACCAATCATAGAATTTAAAGTAGTCAGATTTTAACAATTAAATAAACTATTAAAAAAGTAATAATAATAAACATTTGGAACAGTGAACAACAATGATAAAATATAATGAAACACAATTATTTTCAACTCAGATCTAGATATAAATTCTTTAACTTCATCTTTAAATCTCTACAGTAACATATATTCCTCAGCTGTACCGGTAAACTATTTAACAAGAATGGAACTAAATATTCCCTAGTTCTTTTAGAACATTTAGGCACAATAAAGAATTTACCTTGAATAGTATCCAAGCAAGTACACCCTGTAGTAACAAAAAAGTAATAAAAAGTAAGGAAATTCATTCAAAAAAGTTAGGATTATCTATCTTGTACGTGGTAATATATGGCTTACCGGTTTAGCCAAACATCTAAAGATATGGTTACATATGCTTTATTTATTTCCAAAAAATACAAATTTACAAAACACATACAATTTAGCTAAAAAAAGCCATTCATGGCTTGTCTGTAGCAATTATTCAACTAACATTATTTAATATCCAGCAATAGGGCAATGTATTCTATGTTGTAGGTTTAGATATGTAAGACAAACAAAAATGTCAAAAGGAAGCCAATATTCAAACATTTGTCTTTAGCTTAGCTTATCAATATTTAAAATTTAAGTAGGTATACTGTACATAATCAAGTACATGGTTATTCAGCTATAAGTTTTGGAATTTTTTACAAATAAACAAACATTTTAATTACATTATATTTTCATTTCCAGGATGAACACGGATGACTATGTGACATTTAGATTGAATGGAAAAATTCAAAAAGGTATTTCCACCCATTTCAATAAATTATGTAAATTTATTCAAAACAGCCTATTTCCTAACAAGCATACTTATACTGTACCGAGAGTCATAAAAAAATGTGTGCATTTACATAATAATCTATACTTCTATACTATTATATAAAAATCTAATGGTGTCTGTCTGTATGTGTGTTACTAATAGGTGCAAAAACTACTGGCCCAACTGGGCTTAAATTTTACAAAAATATAGCTACCATACCAAGAACCATTATAGGATTATTCACATTTCGATACTGACCGTAGGCTTTGCCCCTTTGGCTTTAAAAGTTCTGAGGTGAACATTTTAAAAGTAAATATTGATTGGTCTCCATGGCTGCAAGAACACTAACAATGTTTGTTTACATTTGCTTTGACATTTAAATGTAAACAAGAAGAACTGCTAAACTGCTTAACATGTGTTAGATTAATTTAACATAACTTGCACATCACATTGTTTTTTATATGTTTTTTTTTGCTAAACATATGCTTAAATTAAACTAAAGAATATCATCAATAACTAAATTGTACGTCGTTGATTTTTGTTTTCTAAAATCTGTTGTATATGTGTTTGTTCTATAAGAATAAGAATCTTTATTACCCTTTAAACATTTTACAGTGCAATAGGGTTCGCCATTTGCTACATAATATTTCACATGAAATAGTAACAAAAATAATTTTATCAAATATATTTAATTATCAAATGGTAATACAAAATACTCTTATTTTATCTTAACATAGCTTTCAGTTCACATTTACTTTATTTGATACATTTATTATTTGTGTTTTGCATTTTTTAGTCCTCGATGCTTTGATAATCATAGTTTTGTCTGCTGTCTTTAATGCTAAATTATTTGTTTAAAATTGTTTATAGTACCTATAGATATAGTTTCTTTAATATTTCAAAAGACTGTATTGATAAGGCACAGCAATATTTCTAAAGTTTATAGCAGCTGACTTAGTTTTGCTAATGATTTATTGTGAGTGAAGAAACTGAAGATGGAAGGATTTGTGATTTAATATAAAGAAGAGTGAAATTTAAAGAAAAATGTTCATTTAAATTTAATAATTAGTATTTTTGCAACTTCAAAATTGAAGTTTAAAATGTCAATAGTAAATTAAAAGATATGTAACTAAGGGAGATGAAGGTAAATCATGTATGTCAAAGTTTTATTCGAAGATTTGGTCAGTTTTTCTCATATCAGCCTACTCAAGATTTAAAATTAATCAAAACCAAAATGGTGGTATCCACTACTTACCAGATTTAAAATTCATAACTTAAACGTTTCTATTAGGGCTATAAAAGTTGAATTTTGTTTCTAAAAGCGTTGGCGGATGTGTAACTATTACATGCAACACATGTAAAGATGAAAATGTTTCTATTTTGTGTCTTCTTCATCCTGTGCAAAGCACGGGTACAACAGCTAGTATTTTATAAATAAGACAAAATAATCCTCTTGATTGCTGCTATCCTCCACACTTGTTTAAAAAATCCTAAACCAAAAACAAAATTATAGTTGTGGAAGGCAAACAAATAGTTTATAAACAGATTGTTATATTCAGTTAAAGAGTTTAGCTAAATAAAGGAAACAAAGTACATTAGTATAGTAAACAACAAAACATCACCTTACTTTAACTGGAGTGAATCAAGGCCCCACTAGATAAACAGGCCATGCTGCAGGATCCATGACGTCACACTAGTGGATGGATTTGTTGATTCACTGCAATATCCCATATGTTTTAGTTAAATAGGCTGGCTATTTGTCAGATTTTAATGGTAAAATTTTAGTACAACTATCCACCACTGTGACGTAGTGTTGTGCTGCCCGCGCGGCATGGCCTGTTTTTCTAGTGGGGCCTTGAGTGAATGCCTTAAAATATCTGTACCTATATGTTCCATATAGCATGATAAATGTATGAGGGAGTTTGTTTAACATATTTGCTGAAAGTTAATAAATGTGAGCCTACCATAGACTTTTGGTTGCTAAAGTAGACATGCCATCACTTATTCACCAGCTATTAGACATACATTACATGCACCTCACTGTTTAAAATACTATTATCTATTTTCTCGCTGAGTTTTCTCAGTGGTAGTTAAGTGGCATAAGATGATACAGCTTACAATAAGTAATCTTAGAAGTTTAACTTTGTTTAAAACGTTGACGTATCTGAAATCAAAATTTTTTTTTGGCTAGGAAGGATTCAAATTCAAATAGTTTATTGCCATTAAGTATACATGTCATACAATAGGCCAGGTCAATGGAGATAATATACAATTCAAAGTACAATGTACAGAGTCAAGTGTAAATAGATGAACATGCTATACTAATAAACTAATAATACTGGGTTTTTGTACAAAAGTATTTGAGATGTATTGATAATGATGATAATAATACTGTTTATAGTTAAGCAAACAAGTTGGGTAAGTGCCTATAACAAAATAATTAAGGCTAAAATTGGCAGTGAGATACAGCTTAAAACTAAATAACAATAAATTTTTAAATAAAGTTCACAGAAATAACATTATTATGAAAGACTATTATATCACAGTTCATGAAACCATTATTACATACTTTAGAAACAATACCCTACTTAACAATTAGAATTTTACAGAAAATCATCATGTTTGAAAGATAAAAATTCCTCGATAGAGTAGATAACCTTTCTGTTCAAAAAATCGGTCAATACATTTTTCAGTGACTTAATAGGCAAGTTGCGTACATTTTCAGGGAGGGCATTGAAAAGTTTAAGTTGTAAATATTTATAGCTGCGCTGTGTTGAGGCCAGTCTTAATGATGGTAACTCTAAATTATTCCTTAGTCTGGTGTAATGATTGTGAGTTAATGAGCGAGATGAGAATTGTTCAATATTTGTTTTTACAAAAATGATATTCTGCAAAATGTACACACTTGGTAAAGTGAGAATTTTGTATTCAGGAAAAAAGGTCTTACAACTAACTCTACTTTTTATGCCAGCTAGGATACGGATTGCTTTTTTCTGTTTTTTAAAAACGTTAACTGCCCCGCTACTACTGCCCCACAAAATTACCCCATAAACTAAGTGACAATGAAAGAATGCATAATAAACATTAATTAACATACTTAAACTAACATGATTTTTCAACCTCCTGAGCAGAAACAAAGAGTTACTTAACCTTGCAACAACCATTTCAGTATGACTACGCCAAGATAACTTACAGTCTAATATGATTCCTAGCAGTTTAGCATTTGATACTTCAGATACAAGATTTGTCTGTGAAAAAATAATTGAAACAGTTTTGTCATTGTTTACTGAAAATTTATTTGCCTTAAACCAACTATCGGCTGCTATTTTCATCTCCTCAGTTTTAATTTTTACCTCTTGCAAAGATTTGCTTGAGACTATTAAGGAGGTGTCATCTGCATACAGTACTGATTTTGAAGGAAGATTAGATGGAAGATCATTTATTGCAATTAAAAACAAAAAAGGGCCAAGTACAGAACCCTGGGGTACTCCTGCTGTGACTTCTTTCCACTGAGAGGTTTTATTGTTGGCTGATACCATCTGATATCTATTTCCTAAATATGATTTAAATAGATCTAAAGTTTTATCTTTTACACCATAGTAACTTAACTTATCAATCAACAGGCTATGAGAAACACAATCAAATGCTTTACTTAAATCTACTAAAGTTAACTCTAAAAAGGCGTGTGATTCAAAAGCATTCAGAATGTCATCAACAACTGACTTACAAGCATCGATAGTTGATAAACCGGCTCTGAAGCCAAACTGGGAGTTGCTTAGAAAATTATGATTACTAAAAAAGGCACTTATTTGTTTATAAATACAACACTCAATAACCTTAGCAAATACCGGGACAAGCGCAATCGGTCTGTAATTTGATGGACATGAAGTGTCGCCTTTCTTGTGAATAGGCACAACTTTTGTAAGCTTAAGATTATTTGGAAAAACACCATTTTGTAAAACTAAATTGATAATGAATGTCAGAGGAGGAACAAGAGCATACTTGAGTTTTTTTACAATGTTTGTTGTTAAACCATAACAATCCTTGCTGGTGGAGTTTTTCAGATTATTGATGATTAAGTCTATATCTTGTGGAAATACATGCTCCCACATGAAGTTAAGATTTTCAGTATAACATTGCTTTGGATGATTATTAAGTAAATCAAAAGAACTAGGCCTATTTGAGTTGCAGAGTGCATTGTTGTTTGAACCATCAAAATTTGCTACATTGACAAAAAAGTCATTGAAGTTGTCAACATCTATAATAGGGTTGGATTTATTTTTATTAAAACTACCAGATTCAGACTTTATAATATTCCAGGCCTCCTTACTTTTGTTATCACAAGTATTGAGTTTATGGTCATTAAACTTCAGCTTTGCCTCTTTGATTTTGCTTTTGTACATTTTTTTGCACCTAACATAAAACTCTCTATTTCTATTTATATCACCTTCTACCATCAGGGATGTTTTCCATCTTGGAAAAACACTTGTTACAGGGGACTATTCCCCTGTAAGTAACAAGTAAGATACTTATTGTTCCCGCCCCAAACAAATAGCAAGATAATAGACAAATTTAGCAAGATAAAATGTTGATTTGCACCACAGTAGGTGGCCTGGCAGGTGGCACCACCTTGTTGACATATATCAGAGATGTGGCACATCTACGAGGCACCAAGTTTATGTGTCGGGAAGGTGGTTGTGGCGCTTGCATCGTCAATCTTAGTCTGACAGATCCTGCCACTGGAATAGAAAAGTCATTTGGTGTAAACTCGGTAAGGAACTCATAGTTTCTTCTAAAGAAGTTATTTTACTCCTTTAGGGCAAAAAAGAATCATTTGAAGCCTAAAGGACATCATTCCGAGTCTGACTTTATTCTTTGTATGCTGATTTTGCCAAATAAAATTTGATGTAGTCTTAGTTGATAAAAAATAAGAATATAGCCTACAAGATTTTGTTGTTATTGTTGTTGATAGAGTTATTACCTTAAATAATGACACAGAATGGTGAAAAATGTTGTACACCACACAGGAAAAGATGTCTCATCTCAACCCTTACTAATTCTTAATTGTTCAACTCGAACTCCTTGTGGTAAAGGGGCATTAGGCTAAGGAATATAGCTGTTTTAGATTGATGTGTTGTTAGACTAAAGTAGTTTTTTTAATCATTTAGGGTATAAAAGAAAAGTAGGTGTTCCAACTGGTGGACGATGGTTTGTCGCCCATCGATCACCTCCCTAGTTTGCATTGCAATGATTAAATATATAAATATTGTAGTGTTTATGGTGTTGAAATAGTATGAAATCAAACTGCTGACCCTAACAATGCCACACAAGTATCAAATCGAACAATGTGCTCCATACATCTTAGAGAATCCTGTCAACCATAGGCCTAAGCAAAAATATACAAGTTTTGACTGTTTAAGTTTGGGTAACTGAAATGGTTTATACATTTCTAACTATCATATTATCTTTTGGAAGTCATTTACAGCTCTATTTAAATAAAGAATTAAAAACAAAAACAACTGTTGGGTTAGAATAACGTATACCTATTGTCATCGATAACAGCCATATAATGTGAGAAAAAATTTATAGTAATTTGTTAAATTGACATTTTTTACTCGGTTATGCGTTAACAGTATAATCAACATCTTACAGTGTTTGTATGCAGTCTATGCATGCCAAGGCATGTCCGTAACCACTGTGGAAGGTATTGGAAACAGGAAGCAGGGCTACCACCCTGTACAAACGAGGCTGGCGCAGTTCTATGGCACCCAGTGTGGGTACTGCACTCCTGGATGGGTCATGTCTATGTACAGGTATGTAATCCCTCTCTACACCAATCCTCACAGGACCAAACCTAGGTCCAAACATTAAATCTCGGTTCAAACCGGAGACTATGTTATTGTGTACATATTTATCTGTACAAAATAAACTGTGTCATTCATAAAAGGAATACTATGATGGAAAAAAACACTCAAAGTTATATTTTTATTTTGTACTGTGTATATTCATTTAATATTTTTATGCATTACTAGCTGTAACCCGCGGGCTTTGCCCCGTTTAACTTCTTAATTTTCAAGATTATCTCGTTCGCATGGCTCAATCACGTCCTGGTTGAAGTTTGTTCGCTACGCTCACTCACCTTTAGGTTGGAGCTCGTTCGCTACGCTCACTCACCTTTAGGTTGGAGCTCGTTCGCTGCGCTCACTTGCCTTCAGGTTAGCTCGTTCGCTACGCTAACTCGCCTCCAGGTTGAAGTTCGTTCGCTACGCTCACTCACCTTTTGGTTGCAAATTAGCTGTTGTCATAAATGTAAAAGAAATAATAGTGCTGCACCCTGTTGGTAATCCTTGTAACTTTAATGCTATTGAACATCATAGAACAGAACCAACTTGTTTAATTTAAACAGCTGTTAAGATTCAATAATTCCATTTCTCATAAGGTTAACATGGGAAACTCCAGAGCCACTGGGGCGGAGCCCGAAAGGATTTTTGAAATAAGAATATGCCTATATGTTAATCGGGAATGTGAGCTATCATCATGCCAAATTTCAGCCCAATCCGACCAGTATTTTTCGAGTTTACTTTTCCCATACACACATACAGCAACCACCTCTTTTTTATAATAGTATAGATATTAGCATAAGTAAACAGTACAAGCCTGGTATTGTTCCTGTCTAATGTCAACCTTTTTGTTATCATCATTGATTGATAGCCTGATGATGAATGGCATCTAAAACTGGGAACAATATTGCTTGGAAGTTAACCAGGGACCTTCAGATTTGAAGGCAAGCACTATAACTACCAGGCTACCCAGTCAATTTCACCAATCATTGTCATTACTGTATTATATATTTACGTTCCAAAGAACATATATTATTATTGTTATCTATATAAGCAGAAATGTTTCTTCAAAACTTTTTTCTCAGCTCATGTGCATTGCAGGGAAAATCTATGCATACTGTTAGAAGGATATTTTCCTGTAGATGTTTTATTTACAGCTTTTGGTGAAAATAGAGAAGTCTTGTACATTACATATTTTGGTCGAGTTTTCGACCACTGGACGACCTCTAGTTATTATAAATACACACACATATGATAAGAACACAAATTATTTACGGGATTAATTATGTTCAGTATTATCATAGACAAAAAGAATTAAATATAGACCGTCAGCTGTGCTACGGTTACCATATCTTCTGGCGCACACCGCTTGGAGCGCCATGTATTTACGGCGTACACGCTACGTAAACTACAGCGGTGTGGGCCGGAACCTATGGTAACCATGGTAACCGCAGCACGGCTGACAGTCTATATTTAATTCTTTTTGTCTATGGTATTATGCATAGGCAAAGACTGTCATAGTATATGATCTGTTATAATATATGTATATATATAGTACTAAGTTACATGAGTTATCTAGCAAGTTTTCATGTTGTAAGGTTGGACAAACTGGTTACATATTTGACGTGTATTTTTTGTACTTGACAATTTCCGTTTTCTCATGCTCATGTAATAGGAAGCAATGTGACCGTGTGGCGTGTATGATGTAACTTTTACTTTGAGTTTTATCTTAATAAATCTTATATTTAACAGCTTTGTAGTTTTCACTACCCCAAGTGCCCAACATGATCAACCAGTATTTTAGTCTGTTGCAGTCAAACCCTGCAATGTCTATGAAGGAGATTGAAGAATCTTTTGGAGGCAATAACTGCCGATGTACCGGCTACCGACCGATCCTGGATGCCTTCAAAAGTTTTGCTGCCGATAGTCCTGCAGAAGTGAGAGAAAGAGTGGATGATATTGAGGTACAAATTCCCTTAATGCAATATGTAGTCATACACAAAATATGTGTTGAAACTGTTTATGCTGTACTTAATTGTAATAAAGGGCAATATTAAACTTTGCATAGGTAAATAAATAATAATGATTTAACTTATCAAAAAAATAGATCTTAATATTATGGTATATTTCAGGACTTGCTCAATGTTTGCAAAAAGAATGGAAAACCATGTCAAAATAAATGCAACCTACATCTTCCTTCAATCGACTTTGAATGTGTTGAAGAAAAAGACGATTTAGAACGCTGCTTCGCAGAGTTAGCTCTTGCCCCATCCACAATCACTCTGCATACCTTGGGTGGTGGAGAATGGTACAGGGCAACAACAGTTCGTCAAATACTAGAGATATTTTCTACAATCAAAGGGACGTACATGTTAGTCGGTGGAAATACAGCTCAAGGTAATCATTTTAATAAGGTAAAAATGATACCTAATTATTTTTCTCATTTCATTCATTTATTGTTTGGTACCATGTAATTTAATTATCTGGGTAATATCTCACAAGCAATAGATTTATCTGTAAAATACACCATGTCTATTAAATCAGGTTATATTGTACGATTTAGCTGGGTAATTAAAATGTTCACCTCTTTAGTCTTTCTCATAAAATCTGTCCAAGAAAAGTCTGTTAGCTTTATGAAGTTATGAAATTAAACCCGACAACTGTCATTGATCTTTGTGCATTGATGATCATGATTTATCAATCCGTTGATCTTGGTAATAAAGTAACACAATCATACAGTCAGCTAGACTGCTAGACTTACTAACAAAGTTTTATTGTAATCACAATCCGAAAGTCTTAAGCCCTGCGTTTACACAAGGCCAGTTGGCGAGCAGGGCAGGTTACCTGCCCCAGGCAACTTGAAATATACTAGAGGCAGGTAACATGCCCTGTAACCTCCCTGCTAACTAACCTGTGTAAACGTACGGCTTTAGTGATACATAGGAACCAATTCATATTTATCTCTTAAACTGTGCACTAACACATACTTTGCTGTTTTAAATGTAATAATGAGTAGAGAATATTTTTAGGTGTCTACCGAGTTAAGTATCCTCCGTCTCCTGAAACCTACATCGATATTAATGGCGTATCAGAACTGAAAAGACATGAATTTGAGGGCAACACTTTGGTCTTGGGAGCAAACATGACTCTCACAGACACTATAAAACTGTTCAAAGCAGTGGCTATTGAGAGACCAAGTGAGTTTAGATATCTCTTGGTATTGGCCAGGCATTTGGATAAAGTAGCCCACATTCCTGTGCGAAATGTAAGTATTTTTCAAAATATTTTTTACATTTTCTGAGATTCACCATAGAGTAAGTAGTAATCCAAAGATAGTGAAGTAGTACTGTTATGGTACTAATTACGTGCTCAAACTAGTAGTGACCTAATGAGTGATAAAATAATATATGACATAACAAACTTATGAAATTATTTTACTGATTGCTTTCTATAGTAACAGTTACTCTAGGCACACACACTTCAATATAACAATCGATTAAAGTTCAAAGAGTTTATGAAGTCAAAAAATTAATAGTAGGTTGCTAGAAAGTAATTACTATCTTTTTACAATTTGTCACTCTCTATTTTATTATTTACGCAAAAATATCTATTTCTTATAACACAGGTTGGAACATTGGCGGGTAACTTGTCCATCAAACATGACTGTCGTAGGTTTCCCTCGGATTTGTTCACAATATTCGAGACAGTTGGCGCTAAAGTGGTCATTGGTAAGATGTTTTCCTAATCTTAGGTATCAATATTATAAAAACTTTGTTATCAGGGCTTATGATGGTGGATTGATTATAACTTTTGAAATATTTAGTGCAACATCATTTTTATATTTTTACAAAAGAGGTTTGCGGCCTCTATCAACCTGCTTTTCGCCACTCACATAGAGTATTTGCCCGTGCATGGAACGTATCCAGTACGAAGGTGAATACTGTTAGTGGCAGTGACCAGGGTCCGAACCCAAGACATCGCTGCCTTGGGCACGAAGACCGTAACGCTACCGACTCAAATAATGAGTCACATTAAATGGTTTAAAATTGTTATATTATATATTTGAAAGAGCTAACCCAAAATTGTATGGTGTAGCAAAGTGTCAATGCACCAGAAACGGTTACAAAAAAAAAATAAAAAACTGTACTAATTTGTAGTCCAAAACTTTCTTGTTCTGTTGTCAGATGAGTAGGTGGGTTTGGTCCTTAATAAGAAAACATGAGTCAGCTATATTTAACACTGTTTGTAGTAGTTTAAACTCATTTAGTAGTTTGCAACATTGTCAAAATGATTTCAGTAAATTGTTTATAATGGTTTTCTCTCATCTCATAACAGTAAAAATCCAAATTATTTAAAAACAATTTTGTGAGGATAGCAAAGGCTTACCTAAATGGGAAAGAGTCAAAACTGGCTAAAGGTTGATTCACACACATCAGTTACGGCACGTCACAGTAAAGTCACTTCAGGCACGTCACAGTTAACAAAAATATTCTTTGATGGATTTTCTATTGCGCTATCTACACTCATCCGTTGCAGTCCCGTCAGTCTCTCTGGCGGCATCCGTCAGTCAATTTCAGATTTCTTTTCACCGATATTTTTTGATTGTTCGGACGCCTGACGGAACTGTTTGAGGTTAGAAAAAAGTGTTATTGTTATTTAAATGGTTGCGTTTGTATTTTGAGTACTGTTTGTAACAATCAACAAGATAGACAATGATAATTTAATAGAATATAGGTTTTAAATTTTAATTTTTTGACTGTAAATTACTGTAAGTATTAGAGACGGAAGACTGACTGAAACCAACTGACGGACAATTGACTGAGAAATTGCGGATGCAACTGTGACTGGACTGTAACTGGACTGCAACTGGACTGTAACGGAACTGTGACTGGACTGATGTGTGTGAATCGACCTTAAAGCGACACAAAACATTAGGATATTTCACTGTCAGCACTGGCAGAATTTTCAACTAAGAGGAAGAGAGAGTTTCGGTGACAGTGAAATAATGTTTTTTGTGTACAGTGTAAATTTTGTGTTGGTAGTTTTGAGTACATTTTGTATAGGATGAAGCAATGTGATTCCATAAAACTCTGTTTATGTTTTAGCTAAAGAGGATTGGTCCACATTGACAATCTCTTTGCCAGAGTACCTGTACACAGAAATCTACAGAAGGCTAATAACGAAAATTATATTTTTTCCACTCAACAATTCATACATTGTTAGAACTTATAAGGTAAATTATATATAATTTTTGCTAAGTTTCACAAAATTTCCCAATTTCTCTCTAAACAATTTTAAAGAGCTTAAAAAGTATGGTTTATGGTAACGGAGAAAATTAAAAAAATTTTAAATTTAAAATTCCCATGTTATTTTTATGGATAAGGAATATTGTAAAATGTTGTAGTTTGCTTGTTTGTATATATTTGGATCAAACCTGGCAAATTTATTTATTTTATAATAAAGCTATTATTATTTTACAAAAAATCAATTTATTAGTTTCCTTGTATCAGCAAACCTAGGTACTTATTAAACATAACTAGTGTCCCTGTTGCTCGAATTCGAGCAATTGCTAAGTATTAAAGGCGTTATTTTAAAATGAAAAACAGTCATAATTTCTGATGACTTTAAAATATTCAACAACTCAAAGATTTTGGAAATACTCATGATGTAGGTACATAACAGATCGATATAATCACAATTTCTTGTAAATATCTTATCATTGTTGTTAAAAGCTGATCTTGTTTTTTAGCGTTTTCTACAAATAGCCTTACTCGTAGCCGCATCCTGTAAAGCAGTATGTACTGAGGAACGCTTGCTAAATAAAGGCATTTTTATTTATTTATCTATTTATTATTAGGTTACCCATAATCTAAATATATAAAAGGCAAAGCCCTCACTGACTGACTCACTCACTCACTCACTCATCACTAATTCTCCCACTTCCCATTTACCTAGGAGGCTGAAATTCGGTACACCGATTCTTTGGGCATTAAATAGGAAAACTAAGTAGTTTTTATTCTGGTCGGGCTTTCGGGCTCCGCCCCAGTGGCTCTGGAGTTTCCCATGTTAACCTTATGATTTTTCATATTTAAAAGGAACTTCTTAACAGCTGTTTCAATTAAACAAGTTGGTTCTGTTCTATGATGTTCAATAGCATTAAAGATACAAGGATTACCAACAGCACTATTATTTTTTTAAATTTATGACTACAGCCAATTTGCAACCAAAAGGTGAGTGAGCGTAGCGAACGAACTTCAACCTGGAAGCGAGTTAACATAGCGAACGAGCTAACCTGAAGGCAAGTGAGCGGAGCGAACGAGCTCCAACCTAAAGGTGAGTGAGCGAAGCGAACGACTTCAACCAGGACGTGATTGAGCCATGCGAATGAGCTCACTTGTGTAGTTAAACGGGGCAAAGCCCGCGGGTACAGCTAGTAACATTATAAATTAAAAAAAAACATTTATATTTCTTCTCCTTGGTGATGTTCATGACTTTCCTATGGTTCCATAGTTTGCAAATGGGCTCTTTCAATGATTAAAAGAAATGCAGCACAGTGTTAATTCAGTTTTCTTTTTAAGATATCAATCTATCCAGGTTCTCTCACTTTTTTCCATTGTAATATTTACGCCAACCCAAATTCAAGTAGTAAACATTTTATTTTAACCAAGTCAGTAAATGTTTGAAGCAAACTGTTAAATTAGTAAACTTATTAACGGTTTACAACATATGTTCTTCTTCTCACCTTTAATTTCTGACAACAGCTGGAGTTTCATAACAATTTTTGTTTCCCATGTTAATCTTATGGAGAAATACGAAACTTTAAAGGGCTCCAGGGCCTCACTCTCTAATTATTTCCCTAAAAAGAAAGTTTCCTGCACAACTTCACGTTACGCTCTTTCCAATGAGACCAAAAACATGTCAATCGGTTAAGTAGTTTTGGAGGAGTAATTGTCACAAAAATCCTGCTTGCGTATTAAATAAGTATAGAATAGATGTTATTAAAATAGAATTAATTGAAAATCAATTCAGACAAATGAAAATTCGCTTAGTCAGCAGGTTTGCTGCGGCGGGGGGTTATTTTAATATTGGATAGAGATTTACTGAAAAGTTAAGTTTACTTAAATTATAGCAACAATCATTGTTGAATCATTAACTTTGATTTCAGATAGAAAGAAGAGCTCAAAATGACCATGCAATAGTGAATGCAGGATTCTGTTTCAGTTTTGATAAAACCGATGATTACAGAGTTTTAGAAAAGCCAAGTATTGTGTATGGTGGAATCGATGGAGAGTTTGTAAGTTAAAATTTTTTTTGTATGCTCAATACTTAATCTAGCCATTAGGCACTATTTTGGTTAAAAATTCACTGAAAATATATGAAGAATGTGTAACTAAATAGTTTTATGTGTTACTATGATTTCTTGTTATTTTTTTAACTATTTCAATAATAATCCAACCAATTTAAACTAGCTCGGCCAGAAAATCAAAATCTCTTGATACATGTGAATTAACATAATATTAGCATAAAATTATAATTCTCCAGATCCATGCAAGCTGCACAGAATCATTCCTGGAGAACAAGAAACTACTGAATACAAAAACGCTACAAGGAGCGTTACGCAGACTGAATGAGGAGGTGAGACCTACCCGTATACTCCCAGATGCAACCAATGAATACAGGAAAGGACTCACACTTTCACTCTTCTACAGAGTAAGATGATAGAGAGTGACTATAAGGACTATAAGCTATATTCTAGTTCCCAGCTACTGGCTTGCAATACTGTTGTGTAAATCGTTCATGAAAAAATAGCCAAAAACTAGATAAAAAACAACATTTACTAAATTTCAAGGAGTGTCAAGTATAAAAGTATGTACTTTATTTCAACTTGCAAAAACACCTTGTTGAGACTTATTGATAAGAAATTCCCAATAACACTAAACGCCATGGATAACTGAACAACAATGCATTGGCTGATATGCAATGAAACAAAGAAGAACAGGGATATCTTGGCTTATTGTTAAACACCATCTTGCAGTTCTTTTAATGTGGGTTGTGTTTAAAAAACACCCTGTAGTTGGCCCTGGTGTTAAAGGTTGAAGATGAACAGTTTACTTGAACCCATTTATAAGCCGCTTGAAGGCAGGCCAAATAGGAAGTCCATATTCTTCTCCTGAGCCCAGCATGACATGTCTGACCAATGCGTATTGGCTTTAAAAAAAGATTCCTCAGAGAGGAGTTTGTTAACCTACCCATCATAATAGATACCATAGTAAATTATAGTTTTCATGGTGTAAGACAACTTTAATTTGCAGTACGTGTTGAGCTTGAACCCATCGGCAGTCAACCCAAGACTTAGAAGTGGAGGAGAGGACATTGAGAGGCCGTTGAGTCATGGCGTGCAGCAGTATTACAGTGAGCCTGTGGAATATCCTCTGACTGAGCCTATACCTAAGATTGAGTCTCTTATCCAGTGTTCAGGTGTGGTTTTGATTTAAATTTGAGTAGCTGAGTGGTAGTGCTCATCTGATAAGAGGTTACTGGTTTAAGCTTGAGAAAATAGGTAGTTTTTTGGTTCAGCTTACAAAGAAACTGTTGTTATTAGTTTCAGTGATTAGTATAAGTGAGCAGTGTCGAGCCAGAGGGGGCGTCCGGGAGGTCTGTACCCCCCCCCCCCCCAAAATGTAAGATATCAATTTATTTTTTGTATTAAAAATTATGAGAAACATAAACATGTGTTATATGGTTTGTAATTGCAATACCAACGATCAACTCAGCTGCTTTAATAGTATAGTCTGGTGTCCACATAATACCTTTCAACGAGTATACTAGATGTTTCTTAAGGTGATGTGATTGAGAAGGGTGAAATCTTCTTCCAGGAGAGATACAGTACTCCGGTGATCTTCTGCCTCTGAAGGATGAACTGTTTGCTGCTTTGGTTCTGACAGAACTTGGTCCAGCAACACTTGACGGAATAAATCCCAACGATGCTCTGGTAAATCACAGTAATTATTATCTGTTGTTGGCGATGTTGCATTTTCTTTACAAAAGGTATTTAATGATCTATTTTAGTGCCAACATATCTTCCCAGTAAACAAAAAAAAACGTGAAAAAGTCTTACAGAATATGACTATCTCTTTTGATATTTCAACGCCAACAAATGTAATTTTTACATTAAAAAGAGGTAAGATGTCACTAAATTTAACATTATATATATGCTAATTACTCCCGCCGCAGCAAACCTACCGACTATTTTACAATATTCTCCATAAGAATAACACGGGAATTTTAAATTTACAATTTTTTAAATTTTATCCGTCACCTATAACCCTACAAAAACCCGTACAAAATTTGATATACTAAATCATTTTTTTTAAGCTCTTTAAAAAAGTCTAGAGAGAAATTAAGATTTTTTTTATTTTAGGATCAAAAATGAGAAAAATTCATTTTTACCCCATAAGACTCCCCTAAAACTCCGTTCCCATGGTCCGATCATGCTGGCTTGCGAACTCATTCAAGTTTATTCTGCCTTACACCTTCAAGCCGAATTTCACCAAAATCGGACAAAAATTACTCAAGTTATTGCGTTTACAGACACATATACCGGGTGTCCCACTCCCACCACCCCCAAATAGGGGTTGCCAGGGGTAACTTAAAATGTTTCAATAGCAACCCTTATCAAGTAGCACATAATTTCAGTATGACAATTTTGCCCGGGACCCCAAAATAGGGTATTTTTGGGGGCAGCTCAAAATTTTAAAATATAAAGCCCCATGGCCCCATGGTGGCGGTTGGAAGGTTTGAGGCTACGAACGTACGACTCGTAACCCTCAGCTCTCTCCAGCAACCCCTCCAGAGTACAAAAATCGGCGTGACGTATGATTAATTTGTACTCAGGGCGCATGTTGCAGTAGAGGAGGTCAAGTTTCCCTTGTTTCGGGAATGTTCTGCTCCTCCAAAACAGCGTTGACAACGTGACGACATAGTCCCGAATTGGCTTACAATCTCCTCACTTGTCTAGGTCTTATCGATACAACAGAGGGAGAAATTGGTCTTTAAAACTGACGATTGAAGTCTTAGATACGCCCGCCAGCTACCGTGTCAGTTCCGGTACCAAAGTAATGCTGGGCCGTGAAGAAGTTCTGGTAATGATTTTTTCTCTTCGTCGAAATCGATTGAGTTGGCCTCAGCCAACTCCTCCAGACGTTCCAGAAACGAGACCGGATCTTTCTTGCCGTCAAATCGCAGGTTCCACTTGTGAGCCCGATTGCACAACAACAGAGTGTCGTCTCCCACTCTTGTCCCACCCCATGGGTTGGGGTTGCCTGGACGTGAGGTTGAGAAGCTGGGTTGGAATCGCGACATCCACAGGTCCTGGTTGGGTTGTGACCACTGGTTTGTCCGGTTGCCGAAATCATAACATGACTTCTGGGTTTGTGACGGGAAGGCATACGGTTGAGGCAGGATCGTTTCGTAGGGCGTTGTTAAGCTGTTGGACGTTCGTCAGATCTATCAAGCGTAGCGCGATAGTCGTGTTCCGCAGGTGGTCTAAAAGGGGTTTGGACGCAACGTAATATCCTGCTTAGGTGACGGCATGTTAGCCGGATGCTTCACCAGCATCACGAGAGTTCGTCGAACGGACTCCGAATCGGCGTTCGGCAGGAGTCCAAGTATTTCTCGAACGCTGGCCATCTCCTGGGGCATGGAAAAAGGTTCCAGCCGCTGTGGTCAAATTTGCGTATCGTAGGCTGTAGAGGCAGTAGGCCCCAATACTGTAATAACCATCGGGTTCATCGACTGACGGGTGCTTCCCAACGGGTTCTTCCAATAATCTCAAAAGCATTTACAAAGCTCAGCGACGCTACCCTCGTTCCCTAGCTGATATTTTTTTCATCTCAGCAATCAGGTACTGTTTGTTCAGAATATGAATCCAGCCAATGGGTCGTCTATCGGCAATCTCGGGAGGCTCTCCATTTTCGAAGGTATTTGGGAAATCGTCATCGTGGTAGTGTCCTCGTTGACGTTTGACTGCCTACGGTGGATATCGTCGTGGATAACCGGTAGCGTATCGGGTCATGCAATGTTTGTCGGGGTACTGTACTTGAAACCATAGATTTGGTTTCTCCAGTCACTTCGCTTAATTGTTGAAGTCAGAACCAAGTTTTCTGCTTTTGTTTTTCCCACCTGGTCAACAAAGAGCAATGTGAAAGAATAATTGCAATATGGCTGAGACTTGTATTCTCTATGGCTATTCCCTGTTCTCACAAGTATAGTACTAAAATTTAACTTTACAATGATACATAATATTGCTCAATTTAATCAATCAATCAATCAAAATATCCTTTATTCATTTAAGTACAATTGTACAGGAATAGAGTCAGATCTTACAAAATAAAATGTTTTACATTTAAGAACTAAAAATAAGACAGAATATCTATTTTATTTGTTCTCCCAAAACTCTTCAAGAGAATAAGGGGCAATTTTAATCAAATACTGTTTCAGACAATTTTTAAACTTTTTTGTATCATTTTCAGTTAGAAGTATTTTTGGAAGATGGGACATAAATTTATTTCCTGCAAATTTTGTTTTCTTTTTATAAAATTCTAGATTGTGTCTATCAATTTGAGATTGAGAACGAGTGTTATAATTATGACTAATTTTGTTTGATACCTGAGTTTTTGTAATATTTTTTGCATAAATAATAGTTTCCAAGATATATAGTCCATGAACAGTTAGTATTCCAAGATCGGTAAAAATATGTTTTACCGAATCTTTCCTTTTCAAATTAAACATTGCCCTAATTGCCCTTTTCTGGTACGATAGAATCCGTTTTAAGTTTTTTGATGTAGTTGCTCCATATATACTGATTCCATAAGCTAAATTAGAATGAACTAAGGCATAATATATTGATATTAATGTTTTTAAGCTGCAAACTTTATACATTTGTCTTAAAGCAGATACTCCTGAAGACATTTTTTTGATAACATGATCAACATGTTTGTCCCAGGCTAGACGCTACATGAAACTTTGTCGGTTGAACTCCTCCGCCATTTCTTAACCGATTTTATCCATTGACGTCTCATTGGAAAGAGCGTGTCGCGTAGATTTGCAAACTGGTCTTACATTTTTTTAAAGTCCCTTGGGCTCTGCCCCAGTGGCTTTGAAAGTTCCCATCTTATCCTTATGGATAACTTAATTGTTTACATTTTGATTAGCTGTATAATTTAATTGCTGTTATTTATTTTTCAATTCAATGAAACGAATTGAGTACATTTTTATTTTATTTTTTTTTTATTTTACTATTTAAGTTTGTGTAAACATAACTCCCAAGATGCATCGTGTTAGTATGGTTGTATCTTAAATTTGTGTATATATCGTTGTTTTGTGTTGCTATGACGGATCGTGTTAGCATGATTGTAACTTAAATTTGTGCATTAATCGTTGTTTTGTGTAGCTATAATTATTAGTTTATTTGTTGTTTTTTTCTTGACGCGACGACAACGAAACAGACAGGGGGCGTAATCGTGATAACTACCGCAGCTACAGAACAGTGGCGCGTAATAGGCTTAACTCATCACAGTTAGCACCTGACCCTGGACAATCTCAACTATTAGGTTACAAATGCGCCCTAACACTACCCCAAAATGACTTTTCGTTTTCAATTGGCCCTCTATCAATGACCTGTGTTGCCTGTACAGCGAGGCATTTTGAGAAGGAGAAAACCGGCCAGAATGATTTATTGATAACGAAGATAAACATGGTCTGAGTTACACGCCGGTAATCTTCGAGTTGACTCTTTTAAACTCATTGTAAATGTGACTGTTATTAGTTTTGAAATAACTCCTGTAATACTTTGCAATTGCTCGAATTCGAGCAACATGTACACTAGTCAATTATTAAACCAAGAAATTTTGTATGTTCTACCTGTTGTAATTTATAATCTTCTAAGATTATGTCTGGATTTAATTTGTTTTTGTTTTGTTTTGTAGAAAATGATACAAAATTAGATTTTTCAGGGTTTAAAAGAAGGTTTTTGCTATCTAAGAATTTTTTTATGATGGAGAGACTGACCAATGATGATGCCTCAATACTTTCTTTTGAATTTCCACAAATGGTAATATTAGTATCATCAGCATACAAACAGGCCGCCCCGCCCACAGGCATCAAGTCAGGCAGACCCCTCAAGTATATTAGGAACAAGAGGGGCCCCAACACCGACCCCTGCGGAACTCCATGGCGGACCATCTGAATCTGTGAATTAAACTTTTGGATGTAATTATATTTACTTGAGAAATCTGATTTATAATGTTCTATCTCAACATATTGTTGCCTAAGAAATAGGTAGGATCTAAACCAATTTAATTCTTTGTCATGAATACCTAATTTTGATAAAGTGTCAATAAGATTTTCATGCGATACACTATCAAATGCCCTTGTTAAATCAAGAAAAATGCCAATTACTTTTTCTCTCTTATCCACTGCATTTATTATACTTTCAATAAATTCAATAACTGCAGTGACTGTCGATTTGCCTGCTTGAAATCCATGTTGTTCTGAATCCATTAAGTTATGTTCATTTAAAAAATCCATCAATTGTATAAAAACAACTTTTTCTAAGATTTTTGAAAAAACTGGAAGAAGTGAAATTGGTCGGTAACAGGAAACATCGTTTGGTTCCCCTTTTTTGAAAACTGGAATAATTTTTCCTATTTTGAGTTTATTAGGAAAAATGCCTGAAATGAGAGAAGAATTTACTATATGTAAAAGAGGTTTTAAAATAGCAGGAAGAACTTTTTTAACAGTAATAATTGAAACATCATCATAGCCAGTAGAATATTTGTTTTCAAAAGATAATATTAATTTTTCAAGATCTTTCTCATCAATTTGCTTGAATTTGAATTTATTAATGGAAATTAAATGCTGAGAATGCACCACACTATCTTTTCCTTGAAGAATTTTAGGAAGAACAGAATTATCAACCACAGACACAAAGAAATCATTGAAACTATTACTGACCTGGAGAGGGTCAGTAATAAATATACCATCTCTCAAAATATCAATGTTACATTTTGAAACCTTTTTGTTGTTTACCTCTGAGTTAATTAATTTCCAAGTTTGTTTTGCTTTATTCTTTGCATTATTTACTTTTCTATCAAAAAACATTTTTTTTTTCCTTGTCAATGCATTGCTTTAGTTCAGCTTTCAACTTTTTAATGGTTACCTTAAGACTTTCATTCTTACTTAATCTAAATAAAATTTCTAATTCTTTAATCTGTCTTTTTTTGCATATTATTTCTTCAGTAATCCAATTACTTTTTTTGAAACAATTTATCGCTGTTAAAGTTTTAGGGAAAAATACATTAAAATAATGATTAAATATACTATAAAAAACATCATATTTCTTATCTATAGGCGCCTGATAGACTTCTAACCAAGTTTCTGTCAATAACTCTTTCTCAAAAAAATCATAATTATTTGTTGAAAATTTCCTTATTAGTTTTTTTGTTATTTTTTTACTGTTTTTGTTTGAGCATGAAACTTCAAAGAGTTGAGCATCATGGTCCGAAATACAAGTTACAATACCTGTAATTTTACAATCTCTATTCTCTATATTACTTATAATGTTATCAATAGCACTCTGTGAATTTAAATTTACATCTATCCTTGTTGGAAAATTTACCCAGTATGACAAATTATATATCTTTAATATATTAACAAAATCTTTGTATGTTCTATCTTTATTTAACACATTTATGTTAAAATCCCCTGCTAAAATTATATTTGAAAAACGTTTACTTAAAATACTACACAAACTTTCAAATTTATTCAGAAAATTTTTAATCAAACATTTTTTGGGAGACCTATATATACAAGCTATTACACAATTTAAATCAGCGAAAGAGACCTCAGCAAGACAACACTCAAATTCTTTCTCTTCTAATAGAGATTCAACAGCAGGTATTAGGATTTTTTTACTTTTAATGTTATCTTTTATCATGATCATTACTCCACCTCCCACTTTTATAGATCTAGCAAAATATGAACATACTTTGTAATCTGGAATACTAAAAACTGATATTTCTGGTTCTGTCATTTTGTGTTCAGATATTGCCAAAACAGTAGGTTGGATTTCTGTGAGATTAATTTTTAAGATGTCTAATCTGGATGATAGGTGCTGCACATTTTGATGAAATAACAGTAGATTTGAAAAACTTTTAGCTATTTTGGGTCTGTCTGATGACTTACTTGAGAGTTTAAAAGGGATTTTTCTAGTAGGTCTGTTATTGTAGTTATCTAGTGGTCTAAAAAAACATTACTATTTACAAGCTGTGGGATTTCAACATTAGTATTTACAAGGCTTACATCTAAATCAATACTACTATCACTAGACTCTGTGTTACCAATGATCTGGACTACACTCTCACTATTACTCTGCTTTTTGTCACACACTTTCACTATTTCACTATAGGCAAGATGACCAGGAACTACAGTGGACTGCAAACATGATTGGTCATCAGATGTGAGGTCAACTACAACTGTTACAGTTGGCTGGTGGTGGGTAGTGCCAGGTGCAGGTTGTGGGTTGGTTGGAGCAGGTCCTTGTTGAGCATTAGGTGTTGTAGGAGACTCCTCAGCAGCTGAAGTCAGGGGCAAGTGTGAAGATGAAATTATTAGGTCTCGGAGACACTGTACAAAAACTGGGTGTGTCAGTCCATTACGTAAATTTCCTGTTGAGGTTTCATCAAATGTGACAATTAAGATGGATGCACCAGTTCTGCTGCAGAATTTTTTAAGATTAGCAATAAAGTGATGAGGAGGTATGCGATCCCGCACACATCCCATAGGAGAACAAATTAATTTCTTGAAGTTTTTGTTTTCGAAATCTTGTTCTAACTGTTTGAAGGCTTGGTTGTAGTTATTAAGATAGTTGCTGTAGTTCCCTGAGTTAAGAAAATATTTAGGTTTCGTTACCAATCCATAAATTGCTGCTCCATTTTTAGTTTTCTGAAATGTTAGATCTTTAGCACAGAAATCTTTTTCACATGGTTTTCCAAATTTAGTTTTGAAGACTTTGGCTACTCCTTGACTCATTTGCTTTCCATCACTGAAATCAGCAGATATGCAGTGTGCAAAGGCTACCTGTGGGTCATGACAAAATTCATTAATTACATCGCTCATATGTGCATCGGTTAGTTGAATATCCTTTTTAGTAGTAATTAGTTTGTTTCGGGCCCAGGTTGTTACTTCATCAATGATGATTCCAGCCAATTTCTCCTTTCCTCGACTGCTAAAGTGAAGACCATGTCTTGTAAAGTCGCAACGCTCAAGCTGGGTCAGATTGATCAAATAAACATTATCCATCCTCTGTGTTAGTTCCTCGATGTAATGATTCACGGTGTATAGATCAACATTTATAGGATGCATTAGGGGCTTGTCATATCTAATAGGTATGGTTGTGATTAAGATGGTTCTTTCTTCACTTTTGAGTTTAAGTTTATGTTCTAGGTCTTTATAGATATCGCCAAACTCGCAATTTAGGCTGTCATTTGTTCCACCAATGATAACCACAGGGGTGGAGGCTTCAATGGCTGTAGAGTCAATGACTTGGGCTAACGTGGTGTTGGCTCTTACGTAACCAAAAGCCTTGATTCTCCCATGGCTTAGATATTCAATTTTATTAGCTACTCCTCTGCCCTGGCTATCCGAGCAGAGGGTTAGCTTTAAGTTTGGGTATAGCTGTTTGGATTTTCTTGTGATTGTTTTTTTATAGTGTGGATTTCTGCGTTGTTTGTTTTGTTTTTGATTTATTTTACTAGTATTGGTCTGGTTTTTTTCTGGAATGTTATCAGGAACTTCACAACTGTCATCTAATTTATTAAGAATGTTAAACCTATTTTCCACTGCAGTTGTAGGCTCTGTAATGTGTTGGTTAGGACCCTTGTAAGAATTACTTTTTTGTTTAATTTTGACCCAGTGGTGTGATTCAGCTGTGCTGCTCTTCTCATTAGGGATTACCGTGGGCTGAATGATGGACTTCCTATTTTCAGCCCTAGTGACTGAGGATGTGTATTCTTTATCCCTCTTCTTAATCATTGTAGAATACAAAATAGCGTCGCTGAAATGTGAAGCTAACAGGAAATATGCCATCAGTGACCGTCTCTCAATTAGTTCTATATCGCTTCAACTAGCTTCTTGAATAAACTTAATATTTAGCTCATTACTAATGACCAAATCCTCAACAAGGGATTCAATTACCCAGCATGTGATGATGCCACAATCGTAAGAATTAGGTTGTTGTGGGCAGCTTGCAGAAGTGAATGTTGCAGCTGATGAAGTACCTCCAAGATATAATGTAAGTTTGTCTGCTACCTTCTTTGCTGAAGTCAGATTGTGGTCCTTTAGTGAGTCAAAATGCAGGTAATTGTTGGAAATCTTGTCATAGACTAAGGTGCTCCAATGAGATCCACTTTCTTTGCTCAACTCCTCCGAATCATTTATAGGAAGAATAATAGTATTAATTGAGCGAATGTCTAAAGGATCAAGAAGAAAGTTGTAGTCCTGCAGATTTTTTACCGCATGGGAAATCAAAGGGTTAATTATTATGCTGGATTTTGTCAGTAAAAATTTTTCACTAATCAGTTGGAGGTATGGTTGAATAGTAAGATCAGAGAGCCAGTTTTTACTTAAAAGTTCGTAGGTAATCTGATGAGATTTCATTAGAGTGTGTTCAGTTTGTGTCCCTATATCTGACATTGAAATAGTTTTACAGCTGGTATTGCTTACAGTTGCCTGGTCTACTAACTTGGCTTCTTCATTTGAGGATACAGAGGAAAATGAAGATCTTTGTGATTCTTGGTTTGCTGGTTCATTCAAACTTGAGAAAGATGAATTATTACTATTTAATTTAATTTTAGTGTCATAAAAATCTTCTAATTTAAATGGAAGGTTCTTTTCTGAGATATAGTTTTTTAATTCTTTTTTTGAGCGAAAAACTTTACCTCCAGGGGACTTAATGTAGATATCAGTTTTCCCTTTACTGAGACCATTCTTTCGAATTTTTTCTTCTCTCAGCCAGCCACGAGGTAAACAGTTTTCATTCACTTTAGATTCAGCATAATTTACCATTTTAACAATAAATGGTAAAACTAATATCAAGTTTCTATTGAATATATCCTTTAAATAGCAAATTATTGTAGACAATCTTGTATTCTATCAATAAATTGTTAATTTATTTAAAGGAAATAAATATACATACATATAGATAGAAACTATTTTTACTGTAATTTTAACAAATATATATATATATATGTGTGTTGTTGTTTAATTTAATTACCATGTTGTTATTTTAAGTGACAACATTTTTTTTGTTTCAGCAAATTCCTGGTGTGGAGGCTTTCTTCAGTGCCAAAGATATACCAGGGTTAAATACTATTTTGAGTCCAACAACAAATTTCTTTCAGCAGATAGAAGAAGTTAGTAAAGATAATCTGAAAAGTATTTAACTAATAGCATAGACTGCATGTAAGCATGTACTCTTTATTCAACACTAATATAATGTTTCAAACTAAATTTCAAACACTTTCCATAAAATTACAATTTGCATATACATTTTGAAATAAAATATTGTGTAGATAAAAGCAGAAGTAACATTTTTCTGAGCATACAATCACTATCATTACTAGTAATTAAAAATACAATCATTCATTTTAGTGGACTTAAATTATGAAGCAACGATTAAAAACTAATTTTAAAAACAAATTTCAAGTCATAAAATTATGAAAAATCATTGCGTAACAACGAATCAATAAAGAGTGCTTTGGCTATAGCAACTTTTACTAGAGATTGCTGTTTTAATTTTTTAGTTATTTGCCAGTGATGAGATTAAATATGCGGGTCAGCCTGTTGGAGTGTTAGTAGCATCATCTCAAGAATTGGCGAACTTTGCAGCCGAGAGGGTGAAAATAACTTATAAATATATCAAGAAACCTTTACTTTACGTCAAAGAAGTGTTGGAGTCAGAAGAAACTGAGCGAATAAAATATAGAGCGTCAATTCGACCAACTGTAGAAAAAAGTGAGTATTCTAACTATGTTAATACATTTTTATACATGGACGCCTAGGGTCTAGCTCCTCCGAAAAAAAAAGAAAAAAAAAACTAAGTTGATAAAGTAACACTTTTGATAGGGTTTTGAAGGCAGCTGAATGAAGACGAAAAATTCACAACTTAACTTGATAATCCAGTTAGATACTATTTTTGGGCATTACTCACGTTGAAATAAGGAGAACACAATCTTTGCCACTACACATCCTTTTCACCCACAAACATACCTTAAAAATAACAAAATAGAATAACAGACTTAAGTTTCTATTTTTATATGTTTTATTTGTCTCTGTATGTGAAATGGACGTGTAGTGAGAAAGACTGCGTTCTCCTTATTTCAACAAGGTGAGTGATGCCCAAAAATTGTATCTACCTGTTTTAATGACCTCACCTAAAACCATGTCTTTTTAAAAATAAAAATAATAAATCAATTAACTAAGATTTTAAAAGTTTTAGACAGCTCAATTTGTCTAAGATTCAGTGTAATTTATGTTTTGAAGTATTGAGAACATGTATCACTAGACTATAACATATTCTTGTATGGTTTGCATTATTGCAGAGGATGTTGAACACAAAATTGAAGGAGAATACACTTTCAACGGTCAGTACCACTCATATTACGAGACGCACACCTGCGTAGTCCGACCAAGAGATAACTTAGTCCTGGATGTGATGGTTTCCTCACAATGGATGCAAGGAATACATGAGGCTATCTCTGCTCTCCTCAACATGTCAGTGAACAGGTAGAGATGCATTTATGATTAATAATAATATGTTTTACTAAAAGGTTTTAATTTTTTTGTTATTTCGGAGTCCTACATTTATTTATTTATTTATTCATTTTGACGGCAATCGTCATTTTACAAAATAATACATTAGACAAGACTTACATGCAACAAGATAAATACAATAGATAACATTAAATAAATGAGTAAGAAATTTTGTGGTGGTGGTGAACAGTTTGAGTGAAATTTCAACAGTTACAACACTGTGAATGAACTAATAACAATATAATAAGTTATTATTAATAACAAAACTTAACATATTTCATGATCAATGTGATCCAACCATTGATTTTCTAAACTAGACAAGTCAAAGTAGACATTTTCTTACAAGGATAAACATTTTGTATATAATATTAGATTAGATTTCTACAAATACAACACATAGGGTTTGTTAAGAGAAAGACGAGTGTTAAATAATTGAGATTATTGTGTTCTGGTTAAGATCATCTGGTTCTTTACCATGGCCTATTTATTAAAGGTCCCATGATTAAACCATCAAAGCTAACATGACTTTTCTCAAGATGGACCTGGCAACTTTTTGATTGGTAGGCGACCTATGTGCTTCCAGCTATTTAATATTTACCATCTCCTGATTGTACGGTAAAATTTCTTGAACTGTTACAAAATGTGACTAGTAATGTTTTTGACATGGTCAAAATGGTTTCAGGATAAATGTGCAGATTATGAGGTGCGGAGGAGCGTATGGTGGGAAGATTAATAGAAGTAACTCTGTAGCCTGTGCTACAGCATTGTCCGCTTATCTTCTTCAACAGCCTGTCAGAATGGTGATGAATTTGGAGTATAACATGAGAAGTTGCATTGGCAGATTCTTCATGTACTCCAAATATGAGGTATTCTCAAAGGCTAAATAAAAATTCGTTGTTGATTTAGTGTTTTGTTTTAAAGTTTTTTTTTACTTTTTAGTACATCATTAGACAAGGTGGTTTGGATATGTGTGTAATGAAATATTTTACACTTACAAACTACTAACAAATTAGGAAGCAGTGAAGTACAAGTAACTATCATTAATCCTAACCAATTTAGTACACATTTTGTGAGAGTCCAAATCTAAATTAAATAAACTTAATATACTTTAATAATTTTTATTGAAATGGTGACCATAAAGTGAGATAGTGCTAATACAAGGCCTGTGCATCATAGCTTTGTAGTTTACGATGATTTATTTCTAACTCAGCTGCATGACATTCAAGTTTAACTCATTCAAGTCAACTGTAACTTTCAAATTTTCAAACCCTAAACAAATTTTTTTCCTACAATCACCCGACAAAGTTGGCTTCCTTGTACTGTTTATAGTACAGAAAGCTGCTAATTGCTGCATATTTATACTTTGTCGTACGGTTTATACTTTGGCGCACTTCAGGATTCCAACGAAACAACACAAAACAGCGTGGTTCTATTATGCACGTAATCCGTGTATGCTTGGAAAAAGGTTGGCAACACTTAAAGATAATAATACTATGAGCAGCTGATTGACTATTATAACTACGATTTAACCTGTCATTTCGTTTTTATAGTTTATGTTCTCTTTTCGGTATTTCTGAACTTTCTGGACTTTTCTTTTAAACGTTTTTAAAACATTTCTACAATCTTAATAAACAAGAAAATACCTTTAAAGAATTTTTTTAGGCACGGAAACCACTGCAAATTACAAACATACGGAACTATTTTCTCAAGTCGCGGAGCACATTGCTTGCCGAGGAAAAAATAGCGGAGTGATACGGACTAGGGACTACTTTCTCTAGGGCACCTATTTGTGTTGCCAGCTGAACCTAAAAACATGTTGTATAGTGATGAAAGACTAATGCTTTATAGTGACTGTAGGAAAAATATAATGTGTAACACAAGTGCAAAAGGCCTTTGCTGCACTCGAGATCATTCTAAATTTTGCTCTCGTGTGCAGCAAAGTGCCACTTTGCTCACTAGTTACACAAATAACGATTCTTTACACTGTTTGAAATTGAAGATATAATTATCTTTTGTCATACAAATTTTAAGTTAAGTAACAATTAACATGTACTCCTACACCGAATCATTCTTAAGATTATTTTTGTAGGTTGGAGTCAACGGTGAAGGAGTAATACAGTATTTGAAGGCAAACTATTACAATGACAAAGGAGCATCTTTCAATGATTCAATTACTGAAACTACTAGCATAAAAGCACTTCCTTGTTTCTACGATGTTTCAGCTTGGACTGTTGACGCATACGATGTGTTGACGGACAAGCCACCGACAACATTTGCTCGGGCTCCAGGTGAGTCATAGCAAGATTTGATCCTTTACCCTCACAACTGAAGTCCTAGGCTCTAACCACTATTTCAGCTATAATGTATTCAATTCTTTGTTTATTTTCGTGGTTGTTTACTAAACTGACCTTCTACAAAAAAACCTTTTATATCAAAATAATAATTGATCAGGTTTGGATCCATAAGCTCTCTTCATGTATAAACTATAAAGAATTGTGATTGTGATCGTAATGACCACTCGATTGTCTATTGCACAGCTGAAACTAGTAAGAAAGAAATGAAAGAACAATTGAAACTAAGTCCATTCAGTGGTCGATAGAATTTCGAGATGACAAGATTTCGATATTACGAATGGATATCATCCTTCCCATCGCTTGAAAAATGTGTTCAAACAGAGCCTGCCAGGTGTTGTGCCGTCTGTCCGGGCACTGGCATCTTTTGCTGCTATGCATCTTTTTGTTTGGGTTTTCACTTGCAATACGCAATGTACTTATTGGTACATATAATTCTCCATGTATCATCTTCAATTATTGTTAATATACAGCTTGTTATTAAAATCCCTTCAAAGCTTTTTTTGTTGTTCCAGGTACTCTAGACACTCAAGGGTTAGTAGAACATATTATGGAACACATTGCATGGACTATCAAGAGAGATCCTACTGCAGTCAGACTAAGCAATGCTGAAGATGGTAGTCCAATAGCTGAGTATGTTGCTGAGGCCAAAACCAAGGCTGAATACACCTCTAGACTGGCTCAATGCAGGGAGTTTAACAAGGTAGACTAAATGTTTTTTAATAACTTCTAGTGGCTTGTATAGGGACGACAAAGTCCCTAAAAAGCTCAATAAAGTAAAAAAAATATTCTAATTTTTATACAAACTCAGAAATATATCATCTATGTGTCAGAATAGATATCCCTGTACACCATATCTTTTGTGTAAAAACAGTTTGTTGTTGGTCTTTGTTTGAGTCGTTGATTTTATTTTTGATAAATAATTTGAATCACTCCATACGTTTTACTCCGCTAAAGGCACCAAATATATAATTGTTCGTGAATAAATACTGGTTTATTAAGGTAGCTTTGGTCTTGTGGTTAATGGTGATAAAAAAAGGTTTCCCTGATTGGAATTTTGGAAATTGTCTTTGTCAAATATGAAAAGGTAAATAAAGGTGTGTTGAAGCTTAGTTCTTGGTCAAAACCGCTAAATTAGCATCCCTACCCTGTTTATTTATGTTATTGCACTATTAGTAGAAACAGGGCTTAATTTCTAATTTGAGAAGTACCGGAGCCATGACTTACCGGGGGGTCTGGGGGGTATGGAATACCCCCCAGGGAAAGAGGGGGGTGGGAAGATTTTTGTAAAAATTGCACTTGAATTGGTGCATTTTAAACACATTTGAGCATGGTTAAGAATGCACATATACAGCATTATATTATATACAAAATAGTAATATAACAGGTGTAAAAATTAAAGAAGTTTGCCAGCAACTAAGCAGAAGCACTTAGTATAGTATGCAGTGTATCCACACGACCAAAACAATAATCCCGCTAACTGGGTTGTAAAATGCCATTCCATGCAGTTTTTTATTATGAAAACTGTCGTTGTATTTCTCATGCAGTTTTTGTTATTTTGTTTATTTCTTCTGAGAGTTAAATTTGACATAGGCCTATATTACACATCCACTCCACTGTTCCAATCCAATCCAATCCAATCACGCAGCACGCAGTCAGTGGACTGAGATCATCGATCTGAACGAACACAGACTCAGTCAGTGGCAGTCGGCACCTGGTCGGCAGACGGCACTGTCGGCAGACTGGCTTACAAGTAGGAACACCGTTCCCCGTTGTATAATAAACTTTGAATACTTTGCCCTGAAGTAAAGATTCGGTATTTGACACGATTTTTACAAAGCATTGAAAACCATAAGTCAACAATTGAAAAATAAAAATACTATTTACAGCTAATTAAGATCGATTCAAAAATAAATTATCAATCCAGATAACAGGAGCTTCGCTCCAGTGTCCTGAGAAGTACCGGAGCTGCGCTCCGGTGTGCTCCGGCTGAAATTAAGCCCTGATAGAAAACAACTAATAAAGTGCCAATTGAATTAAAATAAGTATTTTCACTCTCCTCATGATTGATTTATTTTCTTAAACACTACTTAACTTATGTTTTGTTTTAGACCAATCAATGGAGAAAGCGAGGGTTGTCCTTACTCCCGATGAAATTTTACGTTAACTTTAAAGGAAGATATCACGCACTAGTAAGCATCTACCGCAACAACGGCAGAGTCGTCATTAGTCATGCTGGGGTTGAAATGGGACAAGGAATCAACACCAAGGTAATGAATAATTTTTTTTATTAATAATTGCTAAAGAGTTCTATACCTTTAATTTGAAGTTTGAAAAGTCTAAAGTCCAAGTTGTTTATGATTCAAAAATTAGAAGGGCTTATCAAGCTAGTTGTATTAAGATTATACAGAGGTCTAATCAAAGATATGACATGATCTAAGGTTTTTTCAAACAGATATTTTGTTAGTTTTAGAATTAAAATCAAAGTGGATGTAGAACAAATACTCCTAGCCTAATGATTACACGACCAAAAATTTTTGTAACATAAAAAAATATTTAGCTGTTGATTGTAGGCAACACAAGTGGCTGCCCATGTTCTAGGGGTACCACTGGAGTATGTCAAAATAAAGCCCAACAACAACCTCGTGTCTCCTGACAGCATTTATACAGCATCTAGCACCGGCAGTGATGCTGTCTGTTTTGTGAGTAATTGACAATTAATTGTTAGTAGCTTTTAATTTCTTGATCAGCAATGTGTGTTATTCATTTTATAGATAGTAAATCAAAAATATGTCTAATAACATTTTAAAAATTATTTATACTAAACTGTTAACTAACAAGACGGTAAATATAAAATATATTTAAAAGATGGTAAACGTGGTAATCAATTTTGATTGGACAATCCAATCATCATCAGGCCCAATAAGCAAATTACAAGAACCTCGATGGTGTCCCTACTTTATTACAGGTACTATTGGTTACCGCAAGTACCAGATAAGAAGTTTTTACGAGCTCAACTGAAGTTATGATTTACGCTACTTGTTTTCATCAAATAGCTTTATTTCTATTTTTGTATTTTCCATTACAAATACTATTCTTCACAAGCAATCATCATACATTTCCTTTCTTATAATTCTTTAAAATACATTGATTGTCTTCCATATTCCCCAATGAGTGGCTATTTTGTAACAAGTGTTGTGCAACATTTGATCTTTCCAGTTCGCTGTTCTCCATGCAGATAATATATGGTTTTTGAAACGTTAACCCTGGAGCGGGCGCTTACAGAGTTTTCCTCCGCACTTGTAGTTTTTGTTAATAGAATTATGCAAAATGCGTGCAGTCGTGTCCGGCTCCATACTTCACGCACCCCGGAATGCCCCTAAGCTATTTTTACCCCCAAATTCCTCCTTATTATGTTGTCAGTTGCAATTCAGTGACGCAGTGTCAGTTTATGGAGGTTTTCTCCGTGTGTGCCCTTTCACGTAAGTCCTTAGCGCAGAATTTATTTTCGCATGCGCTCTTGTCAAACAGTGTGTTTATTTTTTACATACAAAAATATAAATATGTTTAAATGTATTGTTTAATTTATAATTGCATGTATGTATAATTGCATTATTGCGGAACAAAACTCTGCACGCGCCCTCTCTTGTAACACCCACAGTAATACATACATTTATACCTGAAAATTTTTAAATATGTTTCATTTGAAATATTAATCTTGTTAAGTTAAACAAATAATGTTATTAACAAAGAAATTAGGTTTCTGATTAGATTATTCAACATTTACATACTATATTTCGTTATGACAACGAGTAAAATGGGTAAAATTTATGCTATTTAGTGTTGCGGAATAAAACTCCGCATGCGCCTGCTCTTGTTTTACTGGTAAAGCGCCTCCTCGAGGGTTAAACAAAAGTTTACAGTTCGTTCAATGTAAAAGCTTTTACGCCACACTACACTATTTTGAAGAACTTCCCACGCAAGGATTTAGTCCAGAAAACAGCTGTTTGCCGCCAGCTTAATCAAATGGGGTTTCATTACGTACTACTGTACTGTAATGAGTTTTACCGGAAACCAATCAGCTGATTATTATACTGTATTTGGGGATGAGTGGTTATAAACACAAACATAACCTCTCTTAGAGGTTATAACTAGTGATTGTTAGTCCTTTAGTTAGTTTGGTGGTAGGTAATATAAGGATTTGTACAGATTTAGTAGTGTGGCATAAACTATCGTACGCCACTCGTCCAAAATGTGTTTAGTGGACTTGTATGGTAATCCCATTCTCGACTTCGTCTCGCACGGGAACGACCACACTCACCCGGTAAACACTTATTTTCAGGACTATCCAATCCAAGTAGAAAATCGTTGGCAAATGGTTGGCCCTACGTTTCTGTCGATGGTTGACCATCGGTATGTTTTCGCACTAAGTCTTACGGTTGTCACTTTTTAAGGCTGTGAGGAAATGTTGTGAAGAGCTAAATGAAAGACTGGAAGCTGTGAGGCAATCATTAGGACCAGATGTAGCTTGGCCTCTTCTTATTCAAACTGCCTACCTCAGGGGTGTCAACTTAAGTGCATCTTTCATGTGAGTGTTTATTTAATTTTACAAAAGCTAAGTGCAATAAAATATGCCAATAGACCCTACTAACATCCATAAACTAAGTGTCATTTCTAAGTGTAATGCAGAAAATGGAAAGAGACCCGAAGTTAATAAAGTAGATTTTACTAGCACTTTTCTTTTAAGAGGCGGCGGGAGCCAGCTCGCCCGAGCTCAGCGCTGCCCGCTAGTTTAACATGGAGCGGCGACACATTTTACTTATTTCAGGAAATATATAGACATTTACAAAAAAAATGGAACACTAGTAATGTTTGTCACTACATATGCTACTATATAAAGTATAATAAACCATTATAAAGTTGTTTTTTAATTTTATATACATGAAATACGTAATTTGATTTCCCATAAGGATTTCGGTAAATTAGTTCAACTGTAACTAACATAATTTTAATATTTGTAATTGAAATTGGTACCATCACAAACTAGAATATTTCAGTTTTTGTTTGAGTGTACCACATCTAAAAAATAAAATCTCTGAGTAATTAATTTGATCGTTTTAAAAAACCTTTGTCATCAAGGGTCCCGCAGCACACGGACAAGCGACTGAGGTAGTTCAGCGGTCCTACGCTAGGGTGCACTAGCGTCGCACAGTCTTGAGAAACAAAACACGCCAAGCATGAGTAGTATGACAGATATTCCAATCACTTTCGCTGAAGTGGATGCAAGCCTAAACATTGTTAAGAATCTAAACGCAAACTGAAATTGTACAAGTTTAGCTCAATTTGTCTCTAGGTCTTTAGGTAAAAACTAATTGAACTATGATTTAAAATAATTATACTTTTAGCGAATTTCCCATAGAGGGAATAAGCTATTACCCTATGCATGGATAATACTCATGGTAAGACCTGGACGCGGTACCGATTTTTTTTTCGTTTTGAGGTCCCTAGAGGCCAAAAACACCATCCGTTCAAATTCATATATACAGTGTGTAAATTAAGTATGGAAACAAATCTGTATTTTTAAAACCGAAATAGATAGAAATATTCTATTTGTGGCAATAATAGTTAACAAAGATTCCGCAATTTTTCACATGAAAAATATTTTTTTACCCCCCTAACAGGGTAGGTGGTAGGGGGTGACTTATTTTTTTCAAATAGCAACCCCTATTGAGTGACCCCTCATTTTGAAGAGTTTGTCAAAAGAAACACAATGACGCAAATCCGAGGTGAATATCTCACTCCTAGCCCAAATGGCGGATATTCCAAAATTTGATTTATTGTACGTGAAAAGCACCAATTTCACAAATAATGGAAAGAAATCTGTATTTTTAAAACCGAAATAGATAGAAATATTCTGTTTGTGGAATTGATTGTTGACATAGGTTCCGCAATTTTTTTAATCAACAATATTTTTTCAACCCCTTTAACAGGGTAGGGGGTGGGAGTGACTTATTTTTTCAACAACAACCCCTATTGAGTGACCCCTCATTTTGAAGGGTTTGTTAAAAGAAAAAGAATGACGCAAACCCAAGGTAGATATTTCACCCCTAGCCTAAATGGTGGGTAATGAAAAATTTAATTTTTGTAAAAAAAAGCCCATTTTGGAATATCCGCCATGTTAGCTAGGAGTGAGATATTCACCTCGGATTTGCGTCATTGTGTTTCTTTTGACAAACCCTTCAAAATGAGGGGTCACTCAATAGGGGTTGCTATTTGAAAAAAATAAGTCACCCCCTACCACCTACCCTGTTAGGGGGGTAAAAAAATATTTTTCATGTGAAAAATTGCGGAATCTTTGTTAAATATTATTGCCACAAATAGAATATTTCTATCTATTTCGGTTTTAAAAATACAGATTTGTTTCCATACTTAATTTACACACTGTATATATATATGTGTGTGTGTGTCCGTTAGCACGATAACTCGAGCAAAAATGATCCGATTTTGATGAAATTTGGTACAAACGTGTAGACCTACGTTTATTTGAACGAGTTCGCGATCCAGCATGATTGGACCATGGGAACGGGGGTTTACGGGGGGTTTTATGGGGTAAAAATAGGTTTTTCCCATTTTTGACCTAAAAAAAATCAAATTTAGCAATTTCTTTCCAAACCATTTTGTAGAGCTTAAAAAAACAAATAATTTAGTATATTGAAGCGTAACTATGCGCCTAATGGTTACGGAGAAAATTCCAAAAAATTTGAAATTGAAAATTCCCATGTTATTCTTATGTAAGTAAAGTGTTGTAGTTTGCTTGTTTATGAACATATTTTGATCAAATTTAGAAAATGTTTTTATTTCTTACTAACTATTAACATTTTACAAAAAAAACAGTTTTACCCTGCCTGATGCAGCAAACCTAAGTACTTGTTAAACTAATTCTATTTAAATCGGGAATAAATGTTATATTATTTTAAAGTAGACATTTCAGTGTAAATCAAATCAGTCAAATGGAAATTCGCTTAGTCTGCAGGTTTTCTGCGGCGGGGGTATTTACCTCGATATCTTAGTCAATACTATGTGTGAATAGTTTAATTTTATTTTTGCTTTTTATGTCATGCAAAAAAAAACCTATTTTTATATTTTTTTACTTCCTAAATTATCACTAGATGTAATGAAATTGTAAAACTACATCTAACCTGCAACGTTGTGATATAAATCTATGTTTTTCTCGCGTTATTGTAATAACCAATTGAATAGAACGTATTACAGTTAATTTTAATAAGTATGTTTCGTTATCTTTTAAAAAAAAGGTCTCAATTTTAACTATAACACGTATCCTTATATAAAACCTTATAAAGTTGTTTCATGTTTATATTTAAAATATGTTTCCTTATACAAATGAAGTATTCTATGCATCGATGTATAGTCAAGAAATATATACGACGACTCCATTTTATCCAAAACACTAGCCATAAATCATGTTTTAGAAAATTCTCGTTCCTAGGGGCGAGGAGTTCCAGGAAAGGTGTGAGAGAATATCTGTATTTGTTTATAGATTTCCTCCTCACCCTATCTCGGCGATTGTCTGTGTGGTTGCTAGCAGGTAGCATTGTTTAGTCTAGACGCGCTGGAGCTGGACACAGTACCTACGATATTCGTGTTTATATTGGCCTAGTGGATGTTCGTGTTACAGTGCGCGATATGTTATTTTCCTTGTGATTCGAGGCTAATGTAAGTTGTGTCAGTTTGGAACAATGGGAAATTGCAAGAGGTTTCCTTCTAGGAGGAAGAAAAGAAGAGTGCCTGCTTGTTTGAAAAAGTTGAATCGGCAAAGGACGTAAGTACAGAACAAGTCAATTTAAAAATTCAAAATTCTATATCATGTGCTCTTATACAGCCAGCCAATTACATAAGGCACTAATACACAATAACATAAATACATGCACGACAACTACCCTACAGCAAACAGCATACCACTTTGATACATACACATAAGAAATATTAATAATTGTAATAGTTTGAAACTGGTTTTAGATAACTATATTACTTATAGATAAATAAATAAATAATATACACTAACAAAGGACCATAAACAGGCAATAATATGCAACATGCAGCCAGCTAACATGAATGATTGGCACTTTTCATTTAACAATCGTTTATATTACTATTTAATTTAAATCTAAACATGCTTAAAGAAACGTTAAAGATATCAAGTTCTCGGCAAGACCAATTATATAACCTACACATGTTGTTTAGTGGTGAATAGAATTCTTGAATTTACTTTCAATACTAAGTTTGGTCCCGTGGGCGTTGGCTAAACATGCCTTGCCCCGGAGAGTTGTATATCGTTGCTTATGCCGTATCCCAATGTTGGCTTTCAATTGATTTAATCGAATTCCCCTGTAGAAGTATTATGGTTTATGGGGGTGTGACTTGTAGTTTTCTCAAAAGTTCGTGGGTACTTTGGGCTTGATATACAGATATATAGATTTATATATATATATGTCCGTCAACGCGATAACTGGAGTATTTTGATGAAATTTGGTTTAAAGATGTAAGGCGAGATAAACTTGAATGAGTTCGCGAACCAGCATGATCGGACTATGGGAACGGGGTTTGATGGGGTAAAAATTGGTTTTTCTCCTTTTTGATCTCAAAACCCAACCCTTCCCAATTTATCGCTAGACCTTGTTAAAGAGCTTAAAAAAATAACAAGTGTTTTTGTACAGTTATTGGTAACGGAGAAAATTCAAAAAATTTTAAATTTAAAATTCCCATGTTATTCTTACGGAGAATACTGTACAATGTTGTAGTTTGCTTGTTTATTGACATATTTTGACCAAACTTGGGAAATTTATTTTTTTTTACCAAGCTATTAATTTTTTACCAAAAACACACACTTTATTAGTTTCCTTGTACTGTAACTGAACTTTACTGAAAATAGTTTATAACAATGCCAGACGTTTAATGTTTTAATCGAACACATATCTGTATGATCTCATCGTCTAAATTGCTATTAACGAATAAGTGCATATTATATATATATGTAAATTATATAATTTATAAATTGTGTTTTTTAATGTTTTGAAATGTGTTTTCCAGTTTGATGAGTGCCATGAAAGCTAAACCATCGTTGGAGCAAGAGATTGAAGATTCAATTGATCAACAAACAACATCGCAGAAAAAAGAATACCGGCTGAGTGGCAGGCGCTTAGTGAACATATGCGACTTTATCAAACAAATAAAAGTGCTGAACGTCCACAACCCCAGCATCGGCTGCAATTTTTCTAACATGGAAGTGATATCTGAGGTTAGACATGGACTAAGAAATGGATTTGTCTTTGAATGTGCCATGTGCAAATTTAAAACCACTCTTTGGTCTGAGGAGATCAACGAAAAACTTATGGATGTGAACAGTGCTAGTGTTTGCGGTACAGTTACAACCGGCGGTGGACATGCTCAACTCGAGGAGTTCCTAAGCACTCTTGATATTCCCCCTATGAGTTTTAAAACTTTCAAGAAGACAGAAGAAAAACTGTCAGTGGGATGGGCAGCAACAGCGGCGGTTGAGATGGAAGAGGC